AAATACATGCAAGTTTACGCGCCTTCTTGGAGTCATGTATGAGGCAGTGGAGCACCGTGCTTTGCTATCCGGGATGTAGACAAATCCAAGGGAATGAAGAACCTGTAAGGATAGTACGAGGAATATTCCAGGGTGACAGCCTGAGCCCACTATGGTTCTGCTTGGCCTTGAATCCTCTAAGTACTCTACTGGAGGATTCAGGGCTAGGCTATCCTTTGCGGAGAAGGGGTCTAGTTATATCCCACTTACTTTACATGGATGACCTCAAGTTGTTTGCTCCAAACAAGAAACAACTGATGGAACTACTGAATATAACTGAAAAATTTAGTAGTTCCATCAGAATGGAGTTTGGAGTAGACAAGTGTGCGGTCATGTATGTAAAGCGAGGAGGGATTGTGGAATCTGAGGGACTAGAACTCTCAGATTTCACAAAACTGAGATCACTCTCCGCAAACGATACATACAAGTACCTGGGTATGTCAGAAGGATTAGGCATTAATGGACCGGACATGAAGCAATCGCTACAGGAGCGCTTCTTTGGCCGCCTGAATAAGGTACTAAAAAGTTCCTTATCAGGCGGAAACAAGGTGCGAGCCTTTAACGGTTGGGTCATGCCAGTCCTAATGTATTCTTTTGGTATACTCAAGTGGACACAGACTGAACTTGACACCCTGGATAGACGAGTCCGGACCCTGCTGACTGCAAATCGCATGCATCACCCTCGTTCGTCGGTCATGAGGTTGTACATCCCGCGGAAGTGTGGTGGTCGAGGCTTATTAAATGCTAAGACCCTTCACAACCGTGAGGTGTGCAACCTCAGGGAATATTTCCTGAAAGTCAACGAGGGTATGCATCGAGAAGTAGCAGCGGTGGACAATGGATTCACTCCGCTATCCTTGGCAAAAGAGAACTGGCGCAAACCTGTGGTACTGAGCGTCAATGATCGCAAGGAGGTATGGCATAGCAAGGAGCTCCACGGACGCTTCTTCCGGGCCCTTCATGGGCCCAGTGTAGATTTTCTAGCGTCCGTATCTTGGCTACGATTCAGTAATCTCTTTGGAGAAACTGAAGGATTTGTCTGTGCAATTATGGACGAAGTTATCCTTACGAATAACTACCGGAAATATATAATTAAGGATGGGACGGTTGACATATGTCGGGCATGTCATAGTCCTGGTGAATCCATTAGACATATTATTTCTGGTTGTGGTCGTTTGGCTAACAGTGAATATTTGCATAGGCATAATCAAGTAGCCAAGATTATCCATCAGCAACTTGCTTTGCACTATCGACTTGTTGAGTCTGAGGTACCGTACTACAAGTATGTGCCCGACCCAGTTCTGGAAAATGACCATATCACGTTGTACTGGGACCGGTCTATCATCACTGACAGGACTATTATAGCGAACAAACCTGATATAGTGGTGATAGACCGACAAGTGCGCCGCACGATGATAATCGATATCACTATTCCTCATGATGAGAACCTCGTGAAAGCTGAAAAAGATAAACAAATCAAATATCTTGATTTGGCTCACGAGGTTGTCGACATGTGGAATGTAGATTCGGCTATCATTGTGCCGATAGTCGTGTCGGCCAATGGGTTAATCCCTAATAGCCTCGACAACCACCTTAGGAGGCTAGCGTTAGGCAGTTGGGTCAAGGGCCTGATACAGAAGGCAGTTCTCCTTGAAACGGCACGTATCGTGAGGAGGTTTCTGTCTCTGGAGCCCTAACCACCGGTAGCTTGGACCATGCTCCCGCTACTGGTCGGGTCCTATTTTTTTTTATTTTTTTTGTCCTATTATTATTATTATTATTATATAAACCGATTTCTAACTAACTTATGCTGAATATTCCAAACCACGAAACATGCGATCAACCGAACTAGCCTAAAATGGAAAACATAGAAAATACAAACTCATCTACATCCTTTCTTGAAAAATGCAAGCAACTTTATTCTTTAACATAACGACAACATTTTTCTCCCATACCCCGAGTCCAAGCATATTAATCGCGACAAATAACATGGATTACAACAAAATATAATGCAATTACACACGCCAACACGGAACGGCATTCGCGACAATGATTCATTGGGTTCAACTTGACACATGTAACTAATATATTCAACCTTAAACCAGAATCGTGTCATCGCGTGTGTAACCGGCTTTAGTTGACGACAAAACCGCTCGCGAACGGGGAGCGAAGACCAGTCACCGGTTACAAGGAAATAAGTAACGACGTTCGCGATTGCACCGATACTTACCGAAAACAAAAATATTATTTAAAAATATAATTTTATTTTATTGTGACTTTTCGGTCTTTTTACCTTTAGATTTTTGAAAAGTGATCATGTGAATGCTACGTGCGTAGACAAGTGCTACGCTTCGTAGCCATGCTACGAGGATGCTACGGATTCGTAGCCGATGCATTGATTTAATGTTTTGATTGTGAGTATTAAATGGTATTAATTCCGATGTTGAATTTAATGCTTTATTCACATAGTACTTAAAGACATAATCATGTATTATTCTTTCATAGATGCAAAATAAATATGCAACCCGCAGTCAACACAAAACATTTACAATTTATTTTAATGTCAAATGATTTCATGATACAGAATATTGTGATTTAGTTAATGAATTTAAACAATTGAACTCAAACTCAAACTCTTTATTTGCATGTTAAGGTAACAGGCACAGCTTGAAACAAAAATTAAGACAAATGTGTTATTAATTGTTAAGCACAAAATGATATTTTTCACATTATTCATTCATCATCATCAACAGCTTATATATGCGCACTGCTGAATAAAACCTCTTCTCACATGGAAAAGGTTAGGGCATTAATTTAATCACCACGCTTGTCCAATGCGGGTTGGTGATTTCAGCCCTCATGATGTTTTCCTTCACCGTTGGTCAGTGGTGTCTAAATAATCTTAGAAAGTATATATAACTCGGAAAAAGTCACATTGGTACCTTATGCATGAGAAGTGGGTATCTTAAACCTCAGGGCCTGCACGACATTATTCATTCACACGGTTGTAATGGTCAAATTCACTACAAACATAACGCATTTAATTTAACAAAAGAAGCAGAGCACTGAAAGTTAGCCTTTTTTTCATAAACTCACATCTGATATGCCTCAAAAGGGTAGGCAAAGTTGTACAATTGTAAATATACAATTTAACACTCTATTTCCACGAGTTATGTTATATGTCCCAAGTGATAGGCAATTAAAATATTGCCACACACCAATAAGAATACTTCTGACCGAGTGTCAAATTGAGGCAGTTGTGCTTAGCAGTCCCTTGCAATCACTCGACCGAATTATTTTAATAATCTTACGGCTGATTTTTTCAACTTTAGATAAGTCTAAAAACTACCGCAAAATCAAGTTCGACGGTTCAATCATTTTGCCGTCACCACTCGACACTGGCAGTATAGTCGACAACACCATTTTGGAGACTCCGTTGACAAAGAAAAAAAAGAGTTTTATCGGTAGAACACTTTTTTATATTTGACAGTTCTTCCATACTACTTTTTACTATTATTCTATAGTTAAGAAATTTAAAGTGACTGCCTCGTTGCCCGAGTGGTTGCGAGTTCGATTTCCGGGTCGGGCAAAGTATGACTGGGTTTTTAATTTAATTCTCAGAGGAGCACGGAGTCTGAAGTTGTGCCCGGTATATGGCAATATTTATGACTCATAATATAAACGGTGAAAAGTGGGAGTTACATTGTACAGTGGCATTGAGTGCTGTAATATGCACTTCTGCCTAATCTTACGGGGATTATCCCCCCCCCCCCCGTCAATCTCGCCAACAGTCCTTAAATTCCTAGTCCCCAAAAGACCAGTAGCGCATAAAAAAATTAAATATCAGCCCTTAATGATATAGCAGCTTAAGCAGTAATTAATTAACTCCGTGTAAATTCAGCGGACATGAACACGTCATGTCACGTTTAGTGAACAATTAATCATTGCTACCACGTTGTTGGGGTAGGTAGGAGGACCACGATGTTAGTTAGTTTCGAGACTTTTGTTTGAAATTTGTTTGAATTTTGTTCTTTCTTTTAGATAGAACTTTCATAGTTGTAACATTTCTTATTAAACATACATATTATGTAAAGTAGAGGTAGGTATGTACCTACCCGTACTTTACATTGTATCACATTTTCATGTTACCCCCTTAGTTAGCAGTCGCTCTTGTCAGTCGACGTATCAGCAGCTGTAGCCAAATGCTATTTAGCGCTTGTCTACATGTAGAGTAGAAAACCAAATTATATGGAATTGACGTAAATTTTGACACTTGACAGTGTCATCCCCATACATTTTGATTTCTACTCTCTCTCTCTGTAGACAAGTGCTTATGTGGCGTTTGACTAAAAGCCAAGGTATTATTATTTCCTTTTTTATTTGTGTCATTTTAATAAGCAAACAGTTTATTCTACTGGTTACAAGTTAACATGATAAATCAGAAGATCCACCTGAATTAATTTCAATTAATGTCCCGCTCTCACAACTAGAGCTGGGCTCTCTACTAACTGCTAACTACGGAAACAATTTCCGAGCAACAGGCGGAGTGCATAATAAACTGTTGCCAACTTTACAAACAGTAGTTATATTATTGTATTTTTTGTTAAACTTTCTATGTCTGTATGAAGAATGTATATGAAAATAAAAGGCACTTGTTTGTATATTATGCGAATACTAATGTGCTTAAAAATATTAGCATGTCACTTTTAGAGCTCAACATCTTTAAAACAAAAACTTCCACCGTCCTACACTCGTCACAAAAATACCTTTCATTTTATTACCAAACTGTGCGCTTTCATTCATAAAAACTATCAAATAAAACTCCACCATTTGTTCGCAGAGCCGTCGAAAGCCGCGCGATTGATGATACGAATCAATTATGAAGGCTCGCGGACTCGTGCACGCACTAATAGAAAAGGTCGCGTGACTCCGTGCGTTAGGGTGTAGCGTCGAGTGGGAATATGGTCCTGTGGCAGTCCTCGCAGCGGCCTATGTACGTGAGGACTGTGTGGGTGGGCGACTACCGACACGCCATACTCACGCACGACGACCCCTACCTGCTCAAACTACACGCCAAGCGACGCAGACCCAACTCCTCGGCCAGCTGCACCACCACCAACTCCCGGCTCAGCCAACGCTCCGACGACTTACAAGAGTGTCTGAGGAAACTCAATCTCGTACTCAAGAGCGACAAGTCCCGCATCAACCAGAGACCGGTCACCGGTGATATAGAGCGTCTCAACTTGCATGGCGTGGACCAAGACTACGACGACGAACTAATCGTGAAAGCCAGTCCACATACGAACGACTTTAACGAAGGAAATTACGACAGCCTTAATATCAATATGAGGAACCTGAGAGCGAACAAAACGGCGAGAGTCGACGCTAAAGAGAATACTGAACTATCAGAACGGGTCCTACAATGGCTGGACTTGGCGGGCAAAATAGATTTGCTGGCACCGGAAAACGTAGAGCGAATGTCTCAGCCCCGACACAGCTGGCCGGAGCTGCAGCGTCGTAATCATAATTTGTCGAAATCGAAAACAGCAACCGACATACATAAGGAAGCCGGGCGCACATCACCGAAAGGGGGGGACAGTCCAAAAGCGCAACAAAGCGGGAATATTGATCGGCACGAATTTTATGTGCCGACGTCTGCGAACACGATCGAGAACTACGCGCGACAGTCACGAAACTCCAAGAGCACGCCACGGCACGAGACAAACGTCAAAATAAAAGACAATCACAACAAAACAAAGTCCAGAGAGCTAAGAACCAACGTCACGGAGACGCGGCTCAAAGTGATCAGTGAGAAGAACGCTGTTGAGAAGCAATACGCGGAGATGTTGAATAAGAAGCTGATACCGGATGTGAGTAAGAACCCTAAGCGACAAGTTCACATCTTCATGCCGGAGCTACCGAAGAAACCGGAGCCCCCAGGCCCAGCAAGTAGAACTGAGAGTTTGCTATCACAACCCTCGTATAAAAGTTTAAAGTTTGACACAACAGCAAAAAAGTAAATGTATAAATGAATGCTTTTCTTTGACGTTTTTATTGTAGTACTTTCCCTAAAGAGGTTAAGTCTGTTCACAACAAAGTACTTAGTGATAGTAATTACCTAAGTGATATAAGGCTGCATTGAAAATAATAATGCCACATCTATCCGATTCCTATACGTTTACTTTCAAATTCGCGACTCCAAGCACCAGCCAGCATAAGGCTAACAAATGAAATTTTATAGTAGTACTACGATGTTTATTACGACTTCGTTATTACTTAATCGTAAACAATAACTATTGTTTGATACAGTTTTATAATCAAATGACCTTTTGCAGCTAGGACAAAGTTCTTTGTACTTGTAATAGTATTCACTTGAAGTTTGTATAATCGATATCTTTTAGAACTCTTATGCATTCATGGAGTTCAAGCACTTTTGAAGAGTGTGACATTTTGCTATGAGCCTTGAGTCTAGATGAACGATATCTCGACTTTATGGAACTTGCAGTGACCATTAGTGAAGGGATGCAAGTTATAGATGACATTGTTTTGTACAAAATATAATAAGAAGACGAATATTATAAATACAATTTTACCGTAACTTGCATGACATACATACCTAAATGAATCTTATGCAAATTTTAATTATTTATTTATTTTTTATTTATTATTACATCTTCACCAAAGATAACAGTGACGGCGGACTTAATGCCTTAAGGCATTCTCTGACAGTCAACGTCGTTCGTCTGACAGGAAACGCGATTATTATCTCAACTACTAATATAGTAAGCAGGCTGCGCGACATTGCCGCAACCGCGCACGCTGCTCATGAGGAAGAACCCCTCTGTGGTCGAAACTAGTAGAGCTTTTATCAGTATATTCACGTGAGTAACCCGCGATTTTTAATGAATTTACTAATATAATTTTCAAATCAGTTTTTTACCTTAGGTAGCACATACCCATGGCCATTCGGGACAATAGATCGTCATATAAAGATGCCAAAATACCGTCACAAATATTGTCTACAGCTTAAAAAAGATACAACTTACCGAAAATCCGATGGTAGCGACATCTCTGGCTTGGAAGCGGGACCGCAGCGGCGGGTCTAACGGCTGTCCGCTGTACCGAGGCACCGGCAGACCTAGCGCAATCACGCGGAAGTTCTCGTCAACTCGCACAAGTCGCCATCTTGACACTTCTTCTGCGCCGTGCTCCTACGAAATTATAGGCAGATGTTATACTATGGTGTGTTTACACAAACAGTAAGGACAACTGTAAAAACGTTACTTAATTTGTAGAATAAAAAGACTGCCTCGTTGGCCGAGTGGCGACGGCCAGGCAAGGGGTCTCGGGTTCGATTCCCGGGTCGAGGAAAGATTACTAGGTTTAAAAAAAATTGTGCACGGCAAGCTTTTACTACAAAAGTATTTTAATACTGAATTACTTAACTAGTCTAATTTCAAAATATGTAATTACCTCCAACAGTTTATCGTATCTAGAAGCTGGGACTAAGAACCTTCCATCTTCTAAGTGCATCTCCCTGTTTTCGAGCAAATTATTTAGCACTGGCAACACATTGCGCTCTGCCTTTTCTATTCCTTCTAGAACGAGCACGCGGCCTTCTACTGCTGCACGGACTGCGCTCTGTGGGAGAAAATTAAATATACCATAACATTTATAATTAATTGAAGGGTTATAAGTAATCATATACAAAGATCCTGTGATATATTCAATCTATTTTGAACATTATTACAAAACAATAAAGTTCAAATTTCTAAAAAGCTTTTCAATATCTTGAGAATCGTGCAATATTAGATTTTAAAATTTGAACAGAGAATTTCCTAAATATCATTAATATCAAATAACCACTCAACCAGAAAGGAAGTCGTTAAAATTTTAAGGCAATATTTACCTGATCAAAATACTTAGCAGTAGAGCTCTGGATCTCTCTTCTCTGCTTGAGGTCTGCCTCCGTGGTGTCTCTAGACAGAGCCACATACTCTAGCTCTCTCTGAGTCAGTTCCAAGTACTGAAGAGCTACTTTCCTCCTAAAAATTAAGAAATAGTGGTAAATATGTGTATCCAACTTTATTGGCTAAGAGCCAGGAGACAAGAAGTATTTATCTAATTGGATTCCAATATCTTATTTTCCTCATAGCTCTAATCTATAACATAACATTAAAAATATTTTTGGCAATCATTAAGATCTATTATTGTATAATTTGTATATCAACTGGTACTGTTATAGTATCTAAGTTCAAAGTTCAAAGTCTCATTACTTAATCATGCAGTGAGAATATTTTACAGCATTTCAATGATTGGACTGTAATTTGTTTGATAAATTTTATGACATATAATAAGTAAAGGATGATAAGAAGGGAGTGAATTTATTTATTGTGGTGATGGATACAATAATTAAAGGATGATAATAATGAATGCCATATGGAATTAAATTCGCCTTTTATGCCATAATAAAATTGGGTACATAAAAGAATAAATAAATAAAATAAATAAATAATATATTGTAAGTCCACAACCTCATAGATTTCGTTGCGACATTGATTGTTTATAGGCTCATGTACTGGTCTCTCCCATAAATAAAAATGAATAGAGGAGACAAATAAATAACTAATTACTGATGCTCATTCCCTTGTTTTTACAGAATCATTACTTTCTTTTTTTGTGATAAGTAGAAACCAACAAAATCCATGTTTTAGCAGGTTTTAGCATAATGCAAACATTAACACCTATACAAATACCTGATTTGTGGTAACAAATGATTACTTTAAGGGTTAAATTCCAATCTATCAATACCATTACCACTTACCTACTTTAACCAGAGATTATTAAAAACTTTAAACTCACCTGCTTGGTCCAGGTCGTCCTAGAAGGAACATATCCTGGCCAAGTAAATCTTTCTGCATCATCCATCTTAGATTCCTGAGTGTACTTTGAGATAAAGACTTTATCTCTGTGTCCTCTATAGTCACTGTGAATATAATATAAAATGAGTATGATATAGATTTATTAAGCTTAGATATTGGTGATTTATAATCAAAGATGTATAGGTAACAGGTAACAGGAGTATAAATATAAAAGATTTCCTATGTAGGAACTGTGTGTGTATTTTCAGTACCTAGGTATAATAATACGATTAGCTAAGAAAAGTAATGAAGTTTCCATTTTTCAAACATTTGCATAAAAAGTTTATGCTATTCCATTAAAAAATCTAATATGTTTAACTTCATCTTGAAGCTGTTTATCAACAAATACTGAAAAAACATGAGCTGAACTGATTTTTATAGGTTAGGAAGCAAAGTTTCAAGGTAACAACTTACAGTATTTTCGGGGCACATATTCAACTTTTTTGGGGCTCTTGATCTCCTTGCTCACATCTCCAATGGTCACTTTATCTTCGCTAGAATAACTTCTAACTGGATTTGCAGCTAATATTAGTTTACGATTGCCTAAAATACGAATCAAAACATCGATTCTTCGAACCGTTACTGCGGGATTATACATTATTATAATGACATAAAATCGACACTAGGTAATGGAATTAAGTATATATTATAATATTTAAGCCATTACGTAATAAATAATTGCTTATTTCATAGAAAAATATACAATAATCTACAGGTCAAAGTCTAAAACATAATTGACATGTTGACAGTACGATGTCATGTAAAAATGACAGAATCAACAGCTGATAAGTATGCGTTCGAAAACCACAATTTTCCAGTTTTAAATTTTAACATAGTGGGAAACGAGGAAAACAAATAAATAATGGAATAGAAGTTAAGCAAGATTCTTGAATAAAAGACTAGTTAAATCTTAGTGTAAAATAATCACGATGAATGTTTGACGAATACAACATAACATCACGCCTTTTTATTCCCGAAGGGATAGGCAGAGGTGCACCGTACAGCACTTAATGCCGCTGTGCAATGTAACACCCACCCACTTTTCACTGTTTATTTATATTATGAGTCCCACGTAATAGGAGGTAACCCTATTGTTTTATACCAGGCAGAATTCCAGACTCAGTGCTACTACTGAGAATTGAAAAAACGGTAATCATTTACCCAACCCTGGAATCGAACCCGAGACTCATTGCCGCCGTCGCACTTGCGACTTGGCCAACGAGGCAGCTCAGTCAGTGTTTGACGAATATGCGAATAAATATACATCAACCTTTTTGTTGCACACATTTTTGATTTCATTAATAGATAGATACTATTTATGTAGCAAGTTATTGTGAGAGTTAAAATGGCGGGTGTATGATTATAATTGATAATGAAGCAAATTCTACCAGGTACCAAAAAATTGTACCTAAAATGTAGCTATTTAGAACTAAATTTAAAAAATTGTACTTTCTTTGGAACGAGGAAAACTACATGCCTATGTTCAGCAGTGATCATCTTCCGGCTGGTGATGATGTTGAGGTATAACGCTAGATAGCTATATTATTAAGACAGTATAAATAAAAAAAACTCAGTTCTAGGAATTACTTTATTCATCCAACCATATTATTATGGAACTATTCGATAAAAACGCGTTACTTCGAATAATTTATACGTTTATAATTAAAGCATTTTACTAAGGGCCGATTTTTACAACGCCAGGTAAATTTTATTGGAGGAATAACTTTGAATATTTGTCAATTCTTCTATACTAAGAAAGAACTGTCAAATGTCAATTTTATTCTACAGTTAAGAATTATCTGTTGGTTGAAAAATGAGCCCTAAATCAAAAAAATCAACATAAAAATCTTTCCTTACATACTAACATTAAATAAAAATAGTCTTTCTTAGAAATAGAAAATTTCTATAAAAAACCGAGATAGTAAGGGCGCCGGTTAACACTTTTGCCCTTACTGAGACACAAACAACGACACCATACTATTAGGAGGACATAACACGCAACCCGAACCACGACCGTTTATTGGCCAATCAAATATGCCATAGCCAATCACATTACAACATATTAAAAATAGACCAAACAGCGCGTTCCATCAGTACACGGGTTTCAATAGTATGGTGCGGAGTTCAACAAATGAATACAGATTAATACTGTACGACCAGCGTAATATGGTACGCCCAATCTACTTACAAGCGTACTTCCTCGTACCATTTAAACTAGCTATCTAATAATATAGGAATCTGTGTCATTTGTAACGCTACACATAGCGAATACAACAATAATCGTATTTAATATACTAACTATTCGATATTTGTCTTATAAAAAAAGAGGTCGTATATAATCCTGTATTGAGTTCAAAGAAGACTTGAAAAATGGAACATGAATTTATACTAGCTAAGAATATTTTAAAACAGTTGACGTAGACATAGGAAACAGATATAATAATTAATCATTAAATGCTCACTAAAAGAGACTCAAAGCTGGAAACAAGATTAACACAGCTAGTCACGCGCTCTTATTGGTCGCTTAATGAAATGTGCTCCGCCAATCACATTAAATTATCTTCAAAAGTGACCAATCAACACACGTCTCTTCACAGTACCATGTTTCCCGCTTTAGTCTTTCAATTTTTAATGAACAATACGAATCACTTTGATCATGGATCATCATCCATAGGTTCAATTTTGACACTAACGAAATCAGTAGGTTCAAGGTCCGCGTCGTGTTCATATTCTTCATCTTCTTTAGCTTCAACCTTTATGATGACTTTGTCTGGTTGAGCAAAACCACCTTCTCTTTCACTCTCTTGTGAGTGTTCATCGTTATCATTACGAATGGAGTGTTGCGAATGTTCGTTTGGTGCACCCTCTGCAGTTTCGCTTTCCGGAGCCTGTATAGGAAACCGTTCTGGCAGTTGACTCTGCTGCGCCATATTAGTTAGAGTCACATAATTCCCCATTAATAATTCATCCAATTTCTTCTTCGGAGGTCCAAATATAGTGGTCATGAGAGGCTCGTCGAGTCCAAGGTTGCAATCTCTAGGGTCCAGTCTAGTGTAGAACTCCTTTATATTTGGTTCAGTGCCCTTGAAGCCGTGGCGACGACGGAAGTGTTTGATCATCGTCCTCTTCACTGAATAGGCTTTTGGACACATTTTACACTGTAATAAAGAAACAGATATCAAGACAACATTCCACCAGAATTTTTCTAAATATGAAGTACACTTTTCCGAAAGATTACTCATCCAAAAAAATATTTAATGAACAATCTTGCTACGCCAAAATAGCCTTTACAGCAAGAGCATAAAACGTCCATAACCAGTCAACCAAAAATTGTTTACAACATGTTGCCATGCCAAAACGGACCTTATAATCACTGATATAAAGCCTCACTCACCTGTATAGTCTTCATGTTGCTGTGAGTGATGACATGATGCCTGAGTCCCGCGGGGCTGGTGAGCATCTTGTTACAGATGGGACAGGGGTGGCGCGCGCGCGTGTGGCTCGTGCGCAGGTGGCGGAGCATGTAACGCTCGTCTTGGTACTTACGATCTGTGATAGAAAATTTTATTTTCAGGTCTCAAAATTACTCAATAATGAATTTACCCAGTATGTTAAGTTTAGGTAAAACTTTAGAAAAAAATTCTATAATTTATTTTATTCATCATCGAGAGAGAGAAAACGAAATTATTGGTATAGATGGCGCTGTGTGTGTTGGTATATGTCACATAGGGTACTTTTTATCCTTTTGTGACGCGAGCGAAGCCGCGGGTAAAAGCTAGTTATAAATAAATGATCTAATGCCTCTATTTTTATCACTCACCACTATGGAGACATTTTATTACCTAAACATAAATTATTATCTGTATCACGCATATCTTGTAAGATGACCAAACAAAAGTTCAAACTTACCACAGAGAGGACACTTGATGAGCTCCTTCTTAGGCTCATGTATCTTCATGTGCTCACGCAACGAGCACGCACTTGTGAACAGTTTGGAACATACCGGACATGTCTCTAAATCTGAAATACGATACAAAATACAATTTTAATAAAGATATACTTTTAAGGATATTATAGGGGATTGTTGGGCCTAACATAAACAACTGCCATTGCTTCCAACAACGCAAGCTGTTGGAAGCACGCACTTTATTTTAAGCGCACCTACAGGTGCGCAAAGTGGAATACTTTAGGGGCGCTTCGTCTGGGTGCACTTCATTTAGGTGCGCAAAGTGGAATACCCCCATTGTTCGCGTTCTCGTAGGATAAAAATGCCTATGAGTTATATTACAGACCATAACCTACTCCTGTTAAACATTTCATCCTGATCCCTTTAGCTATTTTGACGTGTAGTTACTACTTCATACTTTTGTTACTACAAATAAACAAACTTTCGCATTTATAATATTAGTAGGGTTTTTTTTTAAGTGGGGAAAATCATCGAAGGACTGCTCCCGCCTGGGTGAGGCGGAAGGGAATGTCAGACTCATACTGACTAAAAACCACCCCGTTCCTTCTCCTGCACGTCGAGCCGGAGCCCCGGTTACCCGTTAGGTTCTTCGCGACATATTAGTAGGGTAGGATATCAAAATTTGAATAGTAAGGTATAATACTCACTCTCTCCTGTATGTTTTCTTATATGGTATGTGAGCTTAGACTTCTGCACAAACGTCTTGCCGCAGTACATGCACGCGTACGACGTGTCTTTCAAATGAGTCCTGTAAACAGTTTATAGAATCAATTATTAACTCGTCGAGTACCGTAGTTATAGACACAATTAAAGAACAATAGGTTGCGGTCACCGGTGACCGCTTGGTGTTTGACAGTTTAAAACAGTAATAGCAAATTACGGTATACAGAAAAACTATGAAGAAACTACAGCTACTGTAAGCAAATCGGCCATTTATAAACTACACTAGCGCCACTAGCGGTAAATGTGAGTATTACTTTAACTGTACTACGGCAATTTTTTTGTCTTCTTGTTTTCTATCAATATAAGAAACAAGTTTTATTTAAATCAAAGTTATAGACAATGATATTATTATAAGTAAAAAGTTGTAGATATGTCGCTTAACTAGCGACATGTTAAAATGTGGCTAGGTAATCACTGACTTCTGGAATATTGCGTCATTCATGTGTGTGTTAGTAAGCCGTTTTTTTTAAGATCAAATGTTGCTAAGTGTAGGAATTGGAACGCAATAATTAGTTTAATTTTATGCCGTATGACACTACTGTTCTTGCTACAGGGTGACAGCCATTTTTTCTTCCCCTTTTCTGTTCCCATCGTAAGACTACACACACCTTATTGTAATTATAAGTTAATAAAGAAACTATTGCCGTAATACTGAAACGTTACTCAATTTTAAATCGGGTTTAAATATCGTGCCATATCTGTCATTTTACAAAGAATTTGTAGAGACAGAACTATACTTAAGCACGACTTAAAATTGAGTAGCGTTTCAGTATTCCGACATTAGTCTATCAACAACAGTGCTTCATTGTGTATGAACCTCCTACACTAAGATAACCTTATTATTTACAATATCAATGGTAACAGACATTAAAAACTTTCAAATTACCTTGCATGAGAATTACAAGCTCCTTTATCAGCGAAGCTCCGAGGACAATGTGGACAAGCATACGGTCTCTCTCCAGTATGCCTTCGTTCATGTCGTAACATGTTCGAGCGCTGCACGAAACGCATCGGACAATACGAGCACGCGTGCCGGGGCCCCTCGTGAATTTGAACGTGTTCGCGAAATGAATCGCGTTTCTGTGTACAGGAAAGAGGATTGTGAACCTTGTGCTGGCGTTTTTAAAGTCGATAATACAATGCCACACGAAACACAGCACGTGAAACACGCAGTGAAAGGATAAATATTGTTAATTAATTGATTATGAACTTTAATGTCAGTATATTTAAAGTTTAAATCAGTTTATTTTGATTTTTTTTTCTCATTTAATTAATTGATTTGATCAAAGACGCAGTCTGCAGATGTGAACTCTATAGTCCTGTATTTAAAGTTCATTTCATTTCAAATACATACCAAAAACGTCTTCCCGCAGTAGGTACAGGTATAATTCTGTTTGTTGGGTATGTGGTCCTGTTTGTGCATGTATAGAGAGGACTTGTACTGGAATGACTTGCCACATTCATTGCATTCGAACGGATGTTGGCCTGGATGCGTTATTAGGTAGTGGAGTTTTCTGGAACAAAATATGTTTCAAGGATAAGTTATCATACTAATATACATGTGTTGTATCAGTGAATCACCTTTGTAGTTAGGTCCAGTTTGAAAGTCATTACAGGACTAAACAAGATTATGAAATCACACACATAACATCACGCCTTTTTATCCCCGAAGGGGTAGGCAAAGGTGCACATTTCGGCACTTAATGCCACTGTACAATGCAACACCCACTTTTCACTATTTATGTAATGAGTCCCATGTAATAGGGGGTGAGCCTATTGCCATATACCGGGCACATTTCCAGACTCCGTGCTACTACTGAGATTTTTAAAAACCCCGTTATACTTTGCCCGACCCGGGAATCGAACCCGAGACCCCTTGCCCGGCAGTCGCACTTGCGACCACTCGACACACAGTGAAAAAAAGTGAAAAAGCAGTATGACTGCAACGCAAATATTCTCAAATAAACTCCACTAGTAAAAAGTAGGCGTCGATAAATAGTTCTGAAGTTAAGTAGTGTAAATACACTTCAATTCTCTTTCAGGAATAACATTCGTTCGTTGGTTTGCGAGAGCAAACTCAAATGACACCTGAAATAGAGTTCAGTTTAGCTAGTGATGTGCCGACCTCTCGTCCATGGTATGCAGCACCTGGCGACACAGCTTGCACTTGAACTTGCCGGGCCCGTGCGCCTGCGCCATGTGCGCCCCGCAGGCGCGCGAGCTGCTGAACTCGCGCCCGCACACGCTGCAGTCCGCCGCGCGCTCCGGCCGCGCGCGGGACGTGTGCATGGACTGGGACCAAAAGGGACTTTATCATTCTCAAATTTACCATATTTTCAAAGAAATGTTAATAAACATAGATTATATGTTTTGTTTGAAAGGGTATACTCCCGAGATGGTGCCATTTCCATGAAATCAGGATGGGATCCTAGGGAAACCGAGGGGAACTTTCGAAAATTCTATGGGCGAGTAATGAGTCTATGATGTTTTTAAATTGGGATTTTTAAACGCTACAATTTGATAAGGGTCTGAAGTCGACCTGATGATGGAGGTTTTTTTTTTTTTTTTTTTTATGGGGGGAAAATCATCGAATGACTGCTCCCGCCTGGGTGAGGCGGAAGGGAGTGTCAGACTCTTACTGACTAAAAACCACCCCGTTCCTTCTCCTGCAAGTCGAGCCGGAGCCCCGGTTACCCGTTAGGTTATCCGCGACTCCGAATCGGCATCGGCCCTATTGGGCCCCATCTGTGGTGGTCTGATTGATTGATGGAACTATTTATTAGATAGGGTTTTTATTTAATCTTGCAATACGACTTTTTTAATGTTAACATGTCATAAGTTAGTTATGGTAAAATTTTCTTACCCGCACATGCAGTTTGAAAGACTTTCTATGACTCAAAGGCTTGTACTGACAGGAGTCTAAGGAACAGAACACCTTTCTAGCTTCAGGGTGTTCACAGTTGAAGTGACCTCTCATCTCCTCGATAGTCGGCAGTACTAGACAGCAGAGGTAACACTTGAGGAGGTACAGCGGAGTCTTCTCTGGAGTGCTGTGCCTTTCTATGTAGTGGTGGACAAACCAGATCTGTGGATTATTGTAGTAATAAATAAATAAACTATGGCAATACTAAAGAACCTTTTAACAGTGGCATAGATAACACAGGTATGGAAAAAGTATTTAAACATAGTCTCACCTTATCACTAAACAACTCATTGCACGTTTCACACTTGTAATAATCTTCTTTATGATTAAAGTAATGTGCGCGGACCTGATGAGTCTCCCTGTCTGTTTCATGCCAGAACAGTGTGGGACAGTACCTGCACTTGAAACCTAAATGTGGACTAAAACAATTATCATATTCTACCACATCCCAATGTTCAGTCAAGTGACGCCGCGTCGACTCCCTGTCGTCAAACTCTTTATCACAAAACTGACATATCCAGAGATCTTCGAAGTCCCCCAACTCATTGGTTATATGGTTGTCCAGGTCAGTCTGGTTTTCAAAAGGTGTGACGCACACTCTACACGAAAATATGGGTGATGACTTAATGCAGTGCATTTTGAACATGTGTGCAGAAAACAGAGACAATGTGCTGTACCGCACACTACACAGTGTACAGACTATATCCATAGTAATCTCTGTTGTAATCTTCTCATAATTAATATCAGAATATTCAAAGAATGCCTTAGCATTGAAATCTGATAAAATATCACTTATGTAATCATGGTAACATTTTTGCACGGCTATGAGTTCCAAGGAAGTGACATCAAAGTCATCATCCCCATTGTAGTTCTTATAGACATCATCATAATCATCATCTTTTGTCTTCTCCAGACCATCGTCAGTCTTGGCCTCATCCACAGCCACCACTTCTTGCTTTATTTCAGGTATGAGTACTTTGAGCAGGTCTTTGGTAGCACTTGGGTCAGCTTCAATAGGGCAGCCAGCAGGTTTGAAGTCAGATTCAACATAACCATACCTAGGATGATTCTTTAGTTGTTCCTCAACAAATTCTGGTCTGAGGTCAGCTCCAAATACAGTGAAAGGAGGATCTCTGCCTGAGATGAGATGTGTGAAGCACTTTAGAGTGAAGTGGTGGTACCCCATGTAGTGGTTGAAGAAGGTTCTAGTTGTGATGTTAGGTTTATTGCAGAGTAGACATTGAAAGTTGGAGGTACCATCATATTCTAATTCCCACAGGTTTTCCTCATCTTTATTTGCTACATTACTGACGTTGTGCTTTTGGAACAAATGTGTATGGTAAGGGTCACCATCCAGAACCCTAAAGTGACAAAGCCTGCAATGAACGAGATTGTGAACAGTTTTCAGGTGGTGCCGGATTTCTACTTCTGTCTCAAAGTTCTGCACACACTGGGAACAAGGCCAAGGGGTGTGAAACTTTTGATGTTTCCACCATGAATCTCTGTCAGGCACAAAGTATCTGAAAGAAAAATTGTATTTAATTACTATTGATTAAAGTACAATCCTTTGTGTGTTATGGAGAATGTAATTACAATCTTAATTTAATAATCTAACAATAATCATAGTCCCATGATAGCAATGGAAGCACTTTTTTCACAGGATCAAATAAAGAATTCATGTTAACTACTTTGGTCTGTTACTGACTAGAAGCATGTAAATATTATGAACATAAAATAAATATCATTATATTCTATGTTCTAATAAGATCTTTATAAATTGTATTCAGGATAAAAAATACATTCTTACCTACAAATACCGCAAAAGTCCTTCTTATGATTCAAGACATAGTGGATAATAATTTTTGATCTGTTTATGAACCAATCTGAGCAAAGTAAACAGCTGTAAGGGCCTGCTGGATTGAAGTCCTTTAAGTATAACCACACGTCCGCAGGCCGCTCTATCACTGGTGGCTGGTCAGTCTTCTTACGTTGAAGCTTTATAGTGATCGAAAGCCGCTTCGGAGGAGATACTTTCTTTTTCTTCTTAACTGGAACCAGAGTTATCTCTGCTGGACCTTCATCACCTTGTTCCCTCTTATTAGCCGCTATAACAGATAGCGGTTCATCATCAGACTCGTCCGAGCTCATCTCTTAATTCGATATTTTCAGATATCACCAAAAATATTCACTTCGCAAATTAAAATGCACAACAAATAACGCAACAAACAAACGCTACGCTAGCTGGTTGATAATGAATCTGTCAAAAAAATAAAAATCGTCCTCGTCCTTCATCAAACGTTTGACATTGACAGCAAACAATGTATTGATCGACTTTTATGAAACCACGCATGGAAGATTACTTCATCACTTCTTTTTCTTTTTGTACTAAAAAGAAAGAGACAGCTTATCAACTTCTACAGCAGCTTCAAACAGCTTTATGAAAACGTTTTTGCACTGGAACGCGCTGTGCACTAATTTAAATAGGACCAGTTTTAATAAAATGTCTGGATTTGGTTTGGATCAAAAAAGACTTTGATAATACCTCATTATAAAAGCAGTATTTATTTATTTCCGCATTAGTTTTTCTCTGAGTAAATAATTGAGTACCTAACATAGACAACTGATAGACGGGAAACGTTTCATTTTCCATGAAAAAGCAGCATAAAGACCTTCATTTCTAATTTGTATTTAGAATATGTCTGTAGTATCTTCCAAAAAAATTAAGTCCCTTATTAATTCATGGAGTACTCAAGTAAAATACTCGGTTAAAGTGTATATTACTTGAAATTTCCCATTTTGACCATTGTTTAAAACTGCATGAATTGAAACGATTTGCAAAAATATCCTTTCGTGGCAGCCATTTTATAGAATTAAAGTTTGTCTATGGTAAGCCAAAGAAAGGCGAAGCTAAACAAAAGGCTAGCATGTAGATAGCATTTCCTAAAATAACAGTAAATTTTGCGTAAATACTGACTCGAAAGACTTATTTTAACGATATACTAAAGTGAACTAATAACTTTTATTACGTGTATATCATTTATGTTCATAAAATGAAGCACAATGCATCGTGTAATGGTGGCCATTAAAAGTAATAATTATGTATATTGGCATACTTACTGCTCTACGGACCAGCAAATAAACATCTAAAGGATTACAGTGACTACTTTATCGTGAATTATAACTAAACAACATGTAAACCCAAGTGATATTTGTGTTATGTGAGAAAGGAACAGTGCCTAGTGTAAATAGACCATTTGGCACGAACCATGGCCCAGAATCAGGGGGAGGTTCAAGTGGGAACACCGAGCCAACCCGTGAAGGAGAAAGACATTTACGCTTGTTTGCCTGATATGCGGACGAACGGCCCGCTTGGACCCGACGAACCGTGTCCTGGTGGTGAAGAACTTCGCTGGCTGCCCGCGCAGGCAACGGATCGTGATCTGGTTATGTACTTGCGAGCTGCGCGCTCTATGGCCGCATTTGCTGGTATGTGTGACGGAGGCTCCCCAGACGACGGGTGTGTCGCAGCGAGTCGCGACGATACCACTATCAACGCTCTGGATGTGCTTCATGACTCAGGATACGACCCTGGTCGTGCTTTACAAGCTCTTGTCAAGTGTCCAGTTCCCAAAGGAATTGAGAAAAAGTGGACTGAAGAAGAAACAAAAAGATTTGTCAAAGGGATTCGGCAATTCGGTAAGAATTTCTTTAAAATTAGAAAAGACCTTTTGCCTCATAAAGACACTGCTGAGTTAGTTGAATTTTACTACCTGTGGAAGAAAACTCCTGGTGCTAGTAGCAATAGGCCACATAGGAGACGACGTCAGGCATCTCTCAGACGTGTGCGTAATACCCGCAATTCTCGAGCTGGTACTCCTAAAGAGCAGACTCCTGAAGCTACACCTACAGTGCCAGATACTAACGGATCAAGACCTTCACCCAATCCTAAAGAAGCTGGCGAGATGAGTTCTGTGACAGAAGACGAGAATTCTGAAGAAGATAGTGATTCCAGAGATGCTGGTGACTTAGCTAAAGTAGACACTGTGAGGCCTGAAAACCCGGAGGACTCTCCAAGTCGAATGAGAACCCGTAATAAATCTAAAGAGCAAAGTACACCCAGTACTCCAAATGGAAAGAAAGGTCAAGATGAAAGTGATAATGATTCTAAGGCCAAACCTAAACCTAGTAAACCAAATGTACAAAGTACCAATAACAATACAGCTGAAAAAAGTATATCATCTCCAGTGAGCAAAGATATCAAGAAGAAGGCGGTAACAAATGGTAAAGTAGTAGATGTATCCAAAGTCAAGAAACGTCTTCCAGATGATACAAAACCAGAGAGTATTTTGGATGGTGATGTACAGATGAAAAAGAAAAAGGCATTGGAACCTCCAGATAGTCCTGCAGAAAGTCTCACTAATGATAGTTTCCCTGCAATGGATGAAACTGAAACTCCAGAACCAGAGCCAGAGGCTTGTGACTTCAGTTTTAATAAGACTGACAAGGAGAGCACTGAACATAACAAAGAACCAGAAGTAGAACAGCATCCAAAATCTGTTGATTCACAAGTTAAAATTGAGAATAATCCAGAACCTGTCATTAAAACTGAGAAAGATGCCATGCCTCCGACTTTCCAAGTAGCTACTGAAAAAGATGAACGTAATGCTCTGGACTTAAAAACAGATTCAAATACAGTTACAAATAAAATTCCTGAAAGCATGGAACCACGGCCTCTTGTCATGCAAAATCCCATGTTTCCTAAAACAGAACTTATTATACCAAAAGTTACACCTATGTGTACAGATCCTATTGAGAAAATAAAAATAAAAGAAGAAATAGATACTGATGAAACATTAAATCTGCAAAAAGAGGACTTCCCAAAAGATCCGTTATCACACAATTTCCCTGGACATCCTGTGAACCAACCAAACAAACCCCTTAATTTGGAAAATACTAACTTCTTTGTGAAAGACAGCCACATATACAATCCAAAATTAGGTCACAGTATTAAAATTGAAAATGTAACAAATAATATCTTCAACCCATTAAATATAACAAAGGACAGCTCAATTATAAGAAGCGCCAAAGATTTTTCATCTGGTATGCCACCCTTTTCATATCCACCTAATATGAACTTTGGAAATGATCCTTCGAAGCATAATCCACATCTAAATCCACTTAAGACAGTGATCAAACTAGAGCCTAGAGATGAAGCAAGTGAAATGAAAAATCAAAATACACCTGAAATCTTTACTGCAACAATTTCTTCAGGTAATAAAGTAGATTCACCAAATGCACCTAGATTAGACTCATTACAAAGAATGAGCCCAACACCTACAAATCCTCGAGGATCATCACCACCTCCAATGGAACATCCAACAACTTTGAACACAGAGCCAATATCACCAGCAAACTCCCAAGAGAATAAAGAGTCAGATGTAGATGACAAACAACCAACAGACTTGAAGACTCAACCTGTGCCCAAGCAAGATTCACAGAGTAGCAACTTGAGGCCTCCCTCATTTCCACATCCAGTTAGACCAGAAAATCTTGGAATTAGATCAACAGAAGCTTCTATTACACCAGTTTCTGTGCAAAATATGCCTCCACCACTCACTCAATCTTCCATTGCTGGCTTGTTACCACCGGGACCTTTGATATCTGTTGGGAGTGGTGCTAATGTTGGCCCATATGGTTTTATGCCTACAGCATTGTATGGTCATGCAAGTCACCCCGGGCATCCAGGTCTTGATAAGCCTGGATCAATGCCACCTTTAATGCCACAACATCCACCCTCTCACAGTATACAGGGTAGTAATCTGATTCCAACACCAGGAAATCAAACTGATTCATCAATGCCGCAGGATTTGAAAATCAAACAGGAAGTATCTGACAATGTACCAGCTAATTTATCTACTCAGCAAGTTGATCCACTTCAATCACTCAAAGAAGTTAAAGTACCAGGATATCCCATTGGAAGTGCAATAGCACAACATTTGAACACTGAAAGAGACAGAGAGTCAATATCTAGTGTCGAAAATAACAGCAGACCTCCTAGCCAGCCTGCTAATGAAAATTCCAATATGACTAGTGCTTTCCTTGGCCCCAGGATTGAGAGTATTAAAAAGGAACCTGAATTTTTACACCAACCTCACTTGCCGCCTACTTCAACAAGTCAGAGCAGCTCTGAATCAACTAGTCATGTTCCTCCTGTGAAAAGTCCACACACGCCGACACCTATCAAAAGCCAACCAGGACACAATGGAACACCTATGCATATTGCTCACTCATCTGCAACAACATCGCCATTCTCAAGGCATCTGACAAGTCCCTCTCAGCCAAGACAAATTTCAGCATCACCTGTTCAACCGAATACGCCAGTATCACATTCGGCACTGAATTTAATGAATCCAACACCTTTATCAATACCAGCGACAATACCTGGCCCTGTCATGCATTCTGGTCAGCAACCACACCCGTTTGCTTCGCCGCTTCACCACCCACATTTACTTCATCCATCTATCTTTCAACTATCTGCAGCGGCGGCTCATGCTATGCACCCATATTATCCGCACCCACATCCCGGATATTCAATGCCTTATCCTTATCCTTATGGGCCATTACCTCAACCACATCCAATACCCCCTATGCACCCTGCAGTAAGCACTGCAGGGCGCCATGACCCAGTCAAACCGTCAACAATAGAATCAACGACGATGCTCAGCTCGCATCATAGTCACAGCACTAGTTCATCAGTCACGACGCGATCTCTTAGAGAAATTTCTGAAAGCTCGGAAGATCCAAGAAATCCTAACGCTACAACTGAAAGGCATCAACTGCATGAGACCACGATGACTCATCATCACTCAACGAGTCATCACAGCGCGGTTCACACCAGCACAGAGAAACAACCGAGCCATGTTGGAGGCGGCACCAACCACACGTTATCTATATCACATTCTACGTCGAGCAGCTCGTCGCAATCAATCCAGCATAAAATCAATACACAGCAAAAGAGTAGTTCTCATTCAAATTCGCCGCATCACTTGTCGGCGAGCGTATCGCAAACGACCAGCTCGTCATCAAGCGTTAATGTTACCAACAATCACAACCACACGCATCATCATTCGCACCATTTGGCACATCACCCTGAGCGACTTTCTCCAGCTGATTCAATGCTAATGCGTCATCACCCGAAAATGCTTCCGGGTAATCCAAATCATCTAATGATTCAGCCGCCATCTATGGGACATCCTATGGGTCTTGGTTTGCCACCAGGACCTGGACCTAGTTCTATTGAAAGTCTTCGACTTCATGCCCAGGCTGCTGCTGGACTTCAGGCTTCACATGCCAGATCTAGTTCACCACATCAAATGCCTCATGGACATCCGCACTTGCGAGGTCCACCGCGACCAATGCCGGATGAAAATCCTGAGCTCAAATTAGAAACACAATCACAACCTGAAGAAGAAGAAATACCAAGCCCTGCTCATATTCCACATGGGCCGAGTCCTGAACCGAAAATAGAGGATACCGAATGTCACAGATCTCAATCAGCCATTTTCCTTAGGCACTGGAATCGTGGTGATTATAATTCATGTACAAGAACAGATCTCATATTTAAACCAGTGCCAGAGTCCAAACTTGCTCGTAAGCGAGAAGAACGTCTTCGAAAACAAGCTGAGCGGGACAGAGAAGAAAGAGAAAAGATTGCCCAACAAGCTCATAGAAAGATAGCTACACCAGAGAAGCCAGAGACTAAGCCCCCGTCAAGAGGCGCGATTGAAACGATATCATCCCCATACGACAGATTCCCAAGGCCGCCTGGATACCCTGATACACCTGCACTACGTCAATTATCAGAGTACGCTAGGCCACATGCTGGTTTTAGTCCAGGCAATCTCCCGCGTCACTGTATGGACCCGATGCTCCAGTATCAACTCAGCTCAATGTATGGTGCTGCGGGTGCACGAGAACGGCTTGAATTAGAACATTTAGAACGTGAAAAACGAGATAGGGAGATACGAGAATTACGTGAACGTGAACTTAACGACAGACTTAAAGAGGAGCTACTGAAAAACAATGTAGGGCCGAGAGCACTTGATCCACACTGGCTAGAGATGCATCGGCGCTACGGTATGCCACCACCTCCACCGCAGGGTGCCATTCCGGTTCAATTCGGGCTGTACCCTCCAGGACACGGGCCAGCTGCACTTTCGCAACTGGAGCGCGAGCGGCTCGAACGTCTCGGCATCCCACCAGCGGGAGGCCAACAACAGTCCGTGCCCACGACCATGTCACAACAACACCACCCGCACCACCCCCACCCCGGGGTGGCGGCGGCCCAGCTGGAGGCCGCAGAGAGGCTGGCGCTCGCAGCCGACCCTATGGTGCGCCTGCAGATGGCGGGCATCAACCCGGAGTACCACGCGCACACCCACGCGCACACGCACGCGCACTCACACACACACCTGCACCTACACCCGGGCCAGCAGGCGGCGGCGCAGGCGCAGCAGGAGGCGGCACTGGCGCTGGGCCCGTACCGGCCACTGCCGCACCCTGACCTGCTGGGCCGGCCCTACGCCGAGCAGCTGGCGCAGCAGGCGGCAGCGCACGAGCAGCTGCAGCGCCAACTGTTGCTGGAGCGTGAGCGCGGCTTCCTGCACCCTGCGCACCCTGCGCACCACGAGGACTTCCTGCGCCAGCAGCGCGAGCGTGAGCTGAAGGTGCGCGCGCTAGAGGAAGCGGCGCGCGCCTCGCGCCCCTAGTGTGATCTGCTAGCGTTCCCTCTCTTCTGACTCTCCAAGTGTTCACGCGCCGCCCTGTAGATCGGTCGAGCGACATTTTCGTATGTGACGATACCTGTAATTTATATTTATGATAGGGCCGTACCTTAAGTATTTAAGTTTTATAATATTTTTATAGTTGCATGGTCGTGTAGTTACGCTTATTTTCCATGCTCAAATTTATTTCTTACCTACTAGTCATAATTAAAATTTTATTTGTGAATGAGATACAGAGTCACACGTTTTTACGTAGGCTGTTTAGATTAAATTATTTACTTTTAAATACATAACAGTTTTTGATCGCTACTGGCTTAGCCTGGTCGTTCACTTGACGACACATAAAGAAATATTATGTCGCATTAAGTTCTGAATGAAAACCGTAGCGCCCGCCAGTAGCTTTCGAATGGAATCATAATGCAAATAATAAGGGTGCTGGTTAGCATTCATGTGAATGGACCACATGATTACAGTAATTATGTTCAATGTAAACTACATTGCTTTTTATGTTCATGACATAATAATATATATAACTATATATTTAAGTGTTTATTTAAGTAAGAGACAGAGTAGGGACTGTGTGGACTTGCCTTTCTAATCAACTTGCCTTTTACGTATTGTCCCGTAGTGACTTTATCGCTCTGTGTAATCCTACTTCACTTAAATTATTTACATTTTAAATAGAAGTATATATTTTGAAATAGTACCTATCTAGCTCTCAAAGTAACGACGTGTGTATATGGAGTGATGTAGAACATACAGAGGTACAGTCGATACAAGAGGCAATCGTTTGTGGAACTAATTACACTCACATATCAATTATAAGATTGAAGTATCGCCGTGAGAAAATTGTTACTAATTGATATGTTGCCTTCAAATGTTGATATTGGCCGAATGCAATAATTCTATATTAGTAATGAAAGGTGATTATGGCCTTGGTGTTGTAAAAGATCGTTTTGTACAGATTGTGATGGAATATTTTATTGAATGCCATTTTGTTCTTTTATGTTCACTCTTGTATGGGATTCGTTCTCAGTTATGACTGCTAATAATATGGTACGTGCATAATGTGCGCGTTTTGTGTAATGAGCGAAAATAACCAATGTCGGTCTGCACTATTATTATGGATAACGCTATGTTTATTGCATTTATTAATCCCAGTTACTTCACTGATATCCAATTTACCTTAATGTCTATTTTAACTTTAAACTCCTGCGAAATAATTTGCTGTTTCCGTTCTTCACAATCAAAACAATCACTAGATTCTGATAGATGTTGGAATAAGAATGCAAGAAGGCGGAAATAATACATAAGCGCGTCCACAGGTTATTTTGTTTTTGAAAATTAATGCATAACATCAATTAATATTGTTGTTTGCATAAACAGCATTTGTGTTAGCAGTCATAATCATCAAGAAGTGAATGCCACTTGCACACTGCAAATTCAATGATTTGAACTCGCAGTGGGGTAATAGTAAATAAACAGTATAATTAGGCAACACTATCGGTCCCTGTCTTTCGTGCTGGTGTGTGATTTTCTTTCTCTTTCACTTATGTGTTAAGAGAAAGTAGGATGACAGGTCAGCTCCATTGCCTGGGACGTGTCGGAAAGCCGACAATTTTATATTGTTGACTGAAACTTGCCAAATTCCCTTTATTTTGGAGAATTTACATAAATGATTATGAAGCTAACCCTACTTAATGAGTGCCTTTAAAATAAAGGTAGTTTGGCAGCGTAACAAAGTGTTTATATTGTTTTAAAGATATATTGATAGTAGAATAACACTGACACAAAGTTAAGTACTTATACAATTGAAATTATTTTGATCTTGACTATTCTGTGTAATAATAATACTAATGAGTGGTTAAATATTCTTGTAAATTTTAAGAGTTGTAATTAACGCCCGTTGTACACATTCAATAACTCTGCACTAAATGTAATATAAATTCCCTTTGTAACAAATAGGCGTTGTTAGAGACAATTCTAAAGTTATATTGATTATCTAGAGTTAACTTTCACGATGTCGCTTCGTAGGTGTTATGTTGGTAATGCCATAGTTACTTTCTGATGTCTAAAAAGAGAAAATGAGTATTATTTTTAGAGACAAATTATATCTTAATTAATTAAGAGGTTGCGTGTCGTTTTAAAACTTCATTTATTTAGACAATAAGGTTAAATGGATGTCTTAGTGCTTTTGTGTAAATTTTTTTGAATAATATATGTGAAAAAATTCAATTTGGTTTGTTTTCTTATCTCCTTATCTACTGAGCTTTTCTACCTTTCGTAAGCATTACAATTAAGTCATTGTTAATTCCTGTAAATTAAAAAAGTTAGAAATATATACTAGTTAAGGAAAACACAGGTCTGATAAGCGCCTTGTTACTGGAAGCGGAACCGACTATAATATTAACTGCATTTTAGATATCGCTTATCACCAAAGCTTCAAGCCTTGTGAAAGTGCATAAGTGCTTAATTTTACAATTTGACGCCATACACTATTTCCGTTTCGATTTCAACCTTATTTTGCGAGAAAAAGGTCCTAAATAATTCTGAAGTGTTTATTCCTATTTCTTAATTATTTTCTCTTAGAATCCGTAAGTGACAAACGTTCTGTCAAGAAACCAATTTTTTTCTTACATTTTAATATTTTGTTGTGGCGATTTATCAAAGGCCTTTTCCCCCGCGTATCTAGGCTATAGTTAGATCGATAGCACGCGGCCCTCCTATCTGCTTGAAGAAATTAATAAGAAAATATATGAAGTATGGGGCTTATGAGCAATACGGGCTTATTGGCAACTGTCGCGCCGAAACACACTTTTTTAAGACAAAAGGTTAGTCGATTTATCACTCAAAATTTCCAGAAGTAGGAAGTAGTCCGTTTGTATGTAAATGGTGCACGAAACCAAGCATTTCATTTTTACCCAGCTCGGCCGCACAGAATTTATACCTAATTATTACGTAGGTACCTACATACGTTCCTGTCTAGTTAGATATCTTGGTTCCAATAGGCGGATAAGTAAATTAAAGATGAACCCTTTACGAAAATTATGTAATGAAATATGTACTATTATATAGGTACTTATTTCAAACGAGCAGATGGATCACCAGGTGGTAAGCAATCGGCGTGGCCCATTGTCACCTGGAACACCAGAGGCGTTACAAGTGCGTTATTAGGGATTAGGAATTTGAGGATAGTTGGGGATTCAGGGATTGGGGAAGGGCGGAGGGGTAATTGAGCCTCTGGTAACACAACGCAAGCGTTGTTTAACGTCGGTTTTCCTATTCGTGCCGAAACATGGCTCTCCCACACTAATTTAATCGGTAATCGGGACAAATAGGTACCTACCTAAAAGTTTTTTAATGAGGAACTTCCATCATTGGCGCGTATTTTGTTAATTTATTTTTATTTTCCTTATGTCCAATACATAGTGTTATAGTTAGTTAGTTAGGTAGGTACCTATTAGATACGCCAGTAAATTCACTACTCCTATGAACTAGTTTCTTCTTCCTATCTTTATGGCGGGCTAGGCTACGCGGAGTCTGCACAAATATGTCCATTTTTCCTTCATTCCCAGGATTTTTCACTATCGGACATCATCTTATAACAAACTCCTTTGGTGTCTTTATTAAAAATATATTTTTTTTCTTTAGCCCTCTAAATTCAGTAGATTCTATAAATAGTTACTCAACAAACTAGTTTCCTCATTAACAAAATGAAGGTAGGTAGTAGGTGCCTACCTAAATAATTAAGTCGGTATAATAATATGGCTATTATCATTATTTTGTATTAGTTTTTAATGAGATCGATTTTTCTACCCGCTTTAAATACCTACCTACAGGTGTAAAACATTATCATAATTCGAAAATATAGACAGTTTTTTTTTGGAGATAAGGTAAGTAAAACTGCCTACCCATTCTTTTATCTTTATTAAGTACCTATGGCTTAAATAAGCTGCTCCATTGTGACATTAACACGTTGAGCGTCCGCGTTCCTTATGATCCAACGGGTGCACACGTGACATTTGGAGAAAGAAGAAAGAAAATGCATTTATTTGGCCATTGTCGTATGCCAAGGATCATTACAATAGAAATAAAACAAATACAGTCAAAATAAAAGCAAAACATTAATAATAGATTTAATAAAAGAGAAAGCAGCATGGAGCATTTTTTCTTATGATCCACCGGGTGCTCATAAGGACGCTCGAGGGGTTAAAAAGGAGTTGACAATGTTTCAGAGCACGGTACAACTACAATGCGACGTGTCGCCGGCACCATTTATGCTCCGGCCATACGCCGGTCTCTATAATCCGTTTCCACTCGCGTGCTCCGTTCTCTGCAACCATCCTGCTGACACGGAAGCTAGAGATGTCGTCAAAAAGGCCAAGGATCATTGGGTAACTATAATAGCACCTCTTTTGTATGGATGAAAAATCATCTTATGATCTTCCGGCCCCTAGTGCTAGACTGAGTCTCGTACAGGTTAAAATGCATCCCGTCCTAATTCTTGCTCTCTGCTGGAGCCGCGGTACCTATATGACTACCATATAGGTTTGCCCGCATCTCATCACACATGTTTCGACTTTTGGCTATAATAGAAAAATTCTTAACATAACATTACATCACGCCTTTTATCCCCGAAGGGGTAGGAAGAGGTGCACTTTATGCCACTGTACAATGTAACACCCACTTTTCACTATTTAGGTATGTTATGAGTCCCATGTAAAAGGGGGTGAGCCTATTGCCATATACTGGGCACAATTCCATACTCCGTGCTACTACGGAGATATTTTTAAAAAATCCAGTAACACTTTGCCCGACCCGGGATTCGAACCCGAAACCCCTTGCCCGGCAGTCGCACTTGCGACCACTCGGCCAACGACACAGTAGAAAAATACATTTTCCTAAGGAAAAGGTATATAGGTTGTGTAATTTCCTATTATAGGTAAGTACTTACCTATGGCAGAACTAGTGCTCTAACATGGTTCTTAGGTTTATACCTAATTTAATTCTGGATTGGACCTACTAACTGAAGGTTTGTAACTAAACCTCCAAATTAAAGGTCTTCGTTGAGGAATAATTTGATTTATTGTTTTAGATTTTTTGACATTTCTTTATTTTAACCTTTTCCAATATAGACTAAATTAGCAAACTACTTAATATTGAAATTGGAGCTATATCACCTCCTACTGACTCCATTTAACCAAATTTCCAAATGGACACCATCACAGTAGTAATATATCTTCTAACTAGCTCGCACTGGCCTGTCAATGCAACATGTGTGTACTTTTTTACAGATTGAGGGCAAAGGACATTATTTCCAAGAAGATCTATCAAAATTCCAAGATGGCGGCGGGGACAAAGAGAAGAACAGAACACCACATGATATTTTTACTGAAGATATGTTTAGGAGGTCTGTGCTTGGTTTTGATGTAATTTAAATATTTTAGTTATCTGTTGCCATACTTACTGATTTCTTTGTATCTACCTTCATACCTACATCAATAAATGACCAGATTTTCAATCGTTTGGAAACGTTAAAAAATTGTTAATATTATATTAGTCAGTAGAAAGTGGGTAGTTGCAGAAAAGTCGATATCGTATGTTACCTTCGAGCGGATTAGATACCATAGCACAGAGGTTGGTTTACTCCTCCCTGCTGCTCCCTGCAGTTCATAAAACATAAACCTACCTACTTTATTGTTTTCTGTTAAAAGATGTTTTCTTTAAAACATTTGCAGGTGTGTAACCTGCATAATAGGTAGATTTTTGTTTGTGTTTTAAAATCGTATTTAATGCATAAAAGTAATTTCGTTTTTTTGTTTTGTTTGTAATTTTTCCTTCTATTTGTCCCAAGTCCCGCATACCATACCTAGCTTAGTTAATGTGCGTAAGTTAAAGGTAATAATGTAAGTACCTAGAAGTTTTATATGATGCATAAGACCTCTTTGCGAGATACTTTTAACCTTTTGAAATAAATCGTCCGCTAAGGCACCACCTCAAGGTATATTTAAATTGTTGCTGATTAATTGACCATTCTTACCAGATACGCCGAAACAGACTCAAGACCACTCACTCCAGCTCCGACGCTCGCCAGCGGCAAGTCCAGGGGATCTCGGCGGTGTCTCACACCTGACCAGCCTCATCAGAGAACTACCATCGTCTTGGATCTGAGACGAAGTCATAGCCAGGTATCTAATTAAAAACCCTTCAAAAAAAATTTTCCTGAATGGATTAACAGAGGACTAGTGCACAATTTAGGCTTAAGATTTTGTTTAAAATGTTGACTACAAATATAACGGGAGCCTATTGCTATTTGCCTTGCTTGTGACAAGCGGTTCAATGAACCAAACCCGAAACTTATTAAGTGCGCTTCGCATTACAAAATAGAACTTCTGTATGCCTGTCTTATTCCATCTTCTCTGTACAAATATTATACTAACCTCTTTGCACAGGAAACGATCTACTACCACGGCTATGCTACCTCTGACGTGACGGGAGGTCCAAACACGAGCCCTACAAACGATAGGTCAACGCTACCCTCTCTAAATCTGTCTGATGCCACCCATAATCGTCTCCTCATGGGGCAGAACGAACAGCTACCTCCTCTCGCCTCCCCACTGGTGCTGAGCAGGAGAACTGTGCCAATAAAGGAACCTCAGAGCGTCAGGATTGCTAAAAAGGTAGCTTATTGAATTTCTGATTTCTGTTTTTTTATATTGTCTGTAAACAGGTAATACTTGGATGTACCTCTGGTGTAGATTCAGAAATTCATACATCCATACATAACCTCCTCACCCCTGTCTCACATGGAGCTAGGCAGAGACTATGGAACATCAATTACTACGATTCTTACATACCTCTTTCGCTTCATCAACAGTCGTCATCAGTCTTCATGCATGCTCGTTGGTTCAGAAGTAAGACCACTAAAGCCTAAGTATTCTACCTACCTCAAGTAAGTAAGCAGGTAATAATCTAGGAGCTTTACCTAATTGAATTGATTTGAAATCAAACGCCGAACTAAAGGGTGCGTTCTCGAATGTGATTACCGACCACTAGACTATCACAGTAATATTTAACTGGGATTAAAGACTTTCAATGGTTTTATTTCAAGGTTGATTCATGTAGTGTGACAATCAGTGGGCGCCGCGTAACTACTTCCGTCTGTCATCACCTAATAATACTTTAATACAACAATAAATACAATGATCATACAAACTGGACCACAACATGTTCTTATAACCAGGTAGTTCACCATATCTAAATCTCATATCGATATTTTAACGATTTAAATGCCACTTTACTTTTTAAATTGCGTCACCATCGCTATCAATGTGTTAGCGCCAGCTCTGAGCTGTTATCACGCGGAAACTTTCCCCTCAAGCTTGTCGAAGAGTTACTAGAGCGTTACTCCAAACATCATTCAGCGATTGATAAACAAAGATCGATACATTCGCTGACGTTAGTCCGATACGCTGATTTGCACGGATTAGTCGTCCTGTAGAGCATACCAATAATCTGCGTCGCAACTCCAAAATGTTACCATTTCTGATATCAAAAACGAAACTGCTACCAATACGGAGCAAGCATAAAGACACCGCGAATGATAAAAAATCGAAAGAAAAGAGTTTCTTTGTGACTGGTGATACCTTAGCGACTTTGAAAACTCGACGAGTGCGACGCAACGCACCAAAGCTTCCGGCTATAGTTAAGCCTGGGACTTGTGATTGTGGGCTGATGCACCTCACTAGAATAGTCATTAGCTACGCACCAAAGAGCAGGAAAAGAGGCGCTTCCAACATAGTGTTATCTATGACCGCGTGGGGTACTACTGGCCAGAGGAAACGCATGAAGCTGCCAAGTGTTAAATTGACGAGAAAATTAGTCAACGGCAATAAGTCGTTGACGCACAACTCTGATGAGTTTTTTAAAAAACTAGAGGTACTTAATGTGGGCTCATAGGTTGCTGTGTTTTTATCACAAATAGATCACTATATTTTTTGTTCAAATTAAGTGTTAGCAAGCGTATGGTAACGTCTTAAATGAAGTCGTATCACATTTGTTCCAGAATCAACTGAAAGCTTTAAACATTGGCAAGCCTGCAAAGAATAAGAACAACAAAGCTGAACAGCCATCGTCTCAGCGATCCAAGACTGAGAAAGAAACCAACGACGCGAATGAGGCTAACGGAGAGGAAGGAGGTATGTTAATGTTACTATAAAATGTACCCATCTTGCAAATACATTAAAAATTGTGTGCGTTTCATTAAAAAACCGAAATTCTCGGTTCTAGTGGTTGAATGAGTCCAAAAATAATAAATTACAAATTATTGTCAGTTGATTAGCTATTTTTTATAAGATGTTATATAGGCGTAATAGCAGAACACTCACAAGAAGGATTCTAGGTATCTCTTCTCATCGTTTGTGAACGTCAAAAAGCAGTTGCTCTTTAGTACCTATGAAGATAAGTATCTCGTGCTGGCTAACTTACAGCTGAATTTGTATTGTCATTCTGTGTGTAGGTAGTGGTGAGGGGCGCAGGCGTGGTAAGAGGAGAAAAAAGGGCCGCCAGGGTGGAAGTGACCGACTGACGTCCGCAGGACTTGCTGCTCAGGCGCAACAGGATCCTGAGACACAGGTAGATACGGCACAATTGAAGCTAAAAGATAAGTGGTGACCTAAAACTAAATACGGTAATGGTGGTGGATGAATTTTCCAGATCGCCGGCATCGGCACGGACTCCCAAAACCCGAGTTCCCGTGGATCTATCGCACCAGCCGAGGAAGACGACATCATTGTACTCCCTGTCATCAAACCTTTCGTGGTGGCCAAGAAGTCGGACTCCTTCCTTGATGATGATATCCTCAAGTTTCTACATCGCGAAGTCGATGAAGAAGCTATTGAAACAGAATTTAATACAAAGGTAACTACGCAGTCCCATTTTTTAAATATTTAAATGTGATAAAGAAAGTAAACAAAGTATTTTTGTTACCACCGCTACTCTTTCCGCGGGTGCCGTAATCCTCGAGACGGACAGCAGTGCTCTTTTATGAACCTTTTAATCTGCGGCCTACTTCAGACCTGCCAAGCGTGGTAATCGTGACAAACCTTGTCTAGAAGAGGCCCATAGGACTACCTGTTTCTACACTGTCCATCCTTCTGACCTTTTCCTTAAATCATGATGGACTTAAAAAAGCTTTTTGCCCCGCACAGCAAAACTGTGGAATGATCTGTCGTCGGCGGTATTTTTGAACCGATACGACCTTCAACCCTTTAAAAATGGAGCGTGTTACTTTTTAAAAGGTCAGCAACGCACCTGTGACTCCTCTGGTGTTGCGAGTGTCCATACTGTGGCAGTGGCACTAATCGCTTACTACCAGATGATCTGTCTGCTCGTTTGCTAAAAATTGCTATATTTTCAACCTTACATAAAACTGCTGACTAATCATTCCAGCGTCGCTACGTATTAGAAGAAGCGATGCGCACCCGTCCAGACCGCGCGTACGGGCAGGAGATGCAGGCGCTGCTGAAGGAGCTGAAGGTGCCCGCCGTCAGTCTCGGCGACTGGTTACATATACCGAGGGTGTTTTCACGGAAGAACGCTCAGTTCTCCCTACCGATCGATACTAACGCTTTGGAAAGTAAGTACGGAACATGTATGTTCTATGTGATACTTCTTTACATTTTCCTCAATCTGACTTAAATAAAAAAAAAAACTCTAAGCTGACATTTAACGACATTTTGATTTTCACTAACCTATAAGTAACACTCAAAGGTAAAGGTAGAGGCTTAGATGCTTCCTCACCCTAAGTTACTCTTAGTTAAGAGATGGTTTTAGGGGCGGGTGGTGAAAGTGCTTTGTGAAAAACATAGCTTTTTTCTGTGTGTGGTGGTATTTATATTCAAAGATACACTTACATTTAATTTTGAACAGTTTCGACAACTGAAGACCTCTTCAGGGAATAATACAAAACAATATAATTGAATTATTTACAGGTCTAACACCAATGAATTACGCAGCGCGTTACGTGACGTTGAAGAAGTCGAAGCAACTGTTGTACCTGACAGTGCTGAGGAAATTCAGAGAACATGGATATAGGATGCCGATCAAGGTAATCCCTGGTGTCTACTCACACTACATAAGTAAATCCCTGAATGTATTTTAACTTCATACTAAGTATTTATTGTGAACTAGCTTTTACCCGCGGCTTCGCTCGCGTCACAAAAGGATAAAAAGCCAATGTGACATATACCAATACACACAGCGCCATCTATACCAATACTTTTGTTTTCCCTCGGGAATATCAAATTTTTCAGGGATAAAAAGTACTATTTAATCCGGACTTCTAACTATACATCAGCAAAAAAATCAAAGCAATCTAGTTTAGTTTAGTTTAGTAGTTACGGCGTTAAAGTGGAACAAACAAACAAACTCACTTTCCGATTTATAATATAAGTAAGGATTCAACTACGCTGTTTTTTTATTGGGGTTTCTAATGGGAACTCCAATAAATCAGGAAATGCCCATTGGCATACATGCATTAGGTTACTTGACTAATTTATATTGTTGAGTGATCTTTGGGTCCATATTCGAAATAAAACTGCGCCCGCTGTTCGAAAGTAGCGAAGCTGCTTAGATCTCAGAATAAATATCTGACTGTGTCCACTCCTTCGATAAATAAATTATTATGAGACATAATTTTGAACTTCCAGAACATAGAAGAAGGTCTAGTAATGATGATGGGCGGCAGTCTGACGGCGGCACAAGCGAGCAGCTTCAGCACCATCATGGACTGGGACAACTACGAGGAAGAGGAGAACATTCCTGATGACATCAAAGTCACTCTCATCGACAAATGGTACAAGAAACCTCTCATCAGCACTGAGGCTGGAGATGCAGAGGTAGGTTATAGGGGATATTGTATTTTAGGTGTATGAGGAACAGTCGGTATTGCAATGACAAAATTTATCAAAATTTTAAGTGGCAAGTCATCAAATCTGCACTGTAACCACTGAGCTATTGTAATTGACGCAATAAAACAGTCAGCAGGTTCGATTCCCGCTTCAATCATAAACTATATTTCGCTTACAGTTTATTTGATCTATTTCAGTCGGATGAGAACACCATTAAGTATCGGACTTGGTGTGGTCTTTGTGCAATCTGCGAGCGGATGTACGGACGGTTTCCACCCAGAGACAAAGATCCACCTGACGGGGTATGTATACCTGCTTACTTATATTCCATCTTGATACAATAATCATTTGCCTGAAGCCTGAGATAGTGGACAGGTGCAGATTCCTTATCCTGCAGCTCATATTGTTACGACTGTTATTAAAATTTGGATCTTAATAAAATGATTTCAAACTATATTTTTGATTTAGAAATCCGTAGTCATTTAGATAGAACTGAAGGTTTGTTACGAGTTTGTATTACGATTAAAGTAATCGAAACGAGTATATGTTCGGCCTTCGGCTGATGGGCCGGCTCAATGCTGTGACGGCAACTGTCGACGAAAACTATCGAGCGTCCTCGATCACTTTCGAGCGTCCTCGAAATCTGACGAGCAACCTCGATCACTTTTGAGCGTCCTCGATCACTTTCGAGCGTCCTCGAAAACTATCGAGCGTCCTCGATCACTTTCGAGCGTCCTCGAAAACTATCGAGCGTCCTCGATCACTTTCGAGCGTCCTCGAAAACAATCGAGCGTCCTCGAAAACAATCGAGCGTCCTTGAAAACTATCGAGCGTCCTCGAAAACTATCGAGCGTCCTCGAAATCTATCGAGCATCCTCGATCACTTTCGAGCGTCCTCGAAATCTATCGAGCGTCCTCGAAATCTATCGAGGGTCCTCGATCACTTTCGAGCGTCCTCGAAATCTATCGAGTGTCCTCGATCACTTTCGAGCGTCCTCGAAATCTATCGAGTGTCCTCGATCACTTTCGAGCGTCCTCAAAAACTATCGAGCGTCCTCGAAATTATCGAGCGCCCTCGATCACTTTCGAGCGTCCTCGAAAACTATCGAGCGTCCTCGATCACTTTCGAGCGTCCTCGAAAACAATTGAGCGTCCTCGAAAACTATCGAGCGTCCTCGAAATCTATCGAGCATCCTCGATCACTTTCGAGCGTCCTCGAAATCTATCGAGCGTCCTCGAAAACTATCGAGCGTCCTCGAAAACTATCGAGCGTCCTCGAAATCTATCGAGCATCCTCGATCACTTTCGAGCGTCCTCGAAATCTATCGAGCGTCCTCGAAAACTATCGAGCGTCCTCGAAAACTATCGAGCGTCCTCGATCACTTTCGAGCGTCCTCGAAATCTATCGAGCGTCCTCGAAATCTATCGAGGGTCCTCGATCACTTTCGAGCGTCCTCGAAATCTATCGAGTGTCCTCGATTACTTTTGAGCGTCCTCGAAAACTATCGAGCGTCCTCGAAATCTATCGAGGGTCCTCGATCACTTTCGAGCGTCCTCGAAATCTATCGAGTGTCCTCGATTACTTTTGAGCGTCCTCGAAAACTATCGAGCGTCCTCGAAATCTATCGAGCGTCCTCGATCACTTTCGAACGTCCTCGAAAACTATCGAGGGTCCTCGAAAACAATCGAGCGTCCTCGATCACTTTCGAGCGTCCTCGATCACTTTCGAGCGTCCTCGAAAACTATCGAGCGTCCTCGATCACTTTCGAGCGTCCTCGAAAACTATCGAGCGTCCTCGATCACTTTCGAGCGTCCTCGAAAACTATCGAGCGTCCTCGAAAACAATCGAGCGTCCTCGAAAACTATCGAGCGTCCTCGAAGTCTATCGAGCGTCCTCGATCACTTTCAAGCGTGAAACCTCTTTTTTACCGACTTCAAAAAAGGAGGAGGTACTATGTTTGGCTGATTGTTTTTTTTTTGTTTGTTCGCGTTCACAAAATTCTTTTTTTGTTTGCAAGGGTATCGAGGCCCGAGATGGTCCCATTTCCATGAGATCAGGATCTGATCTGATGATGGGATCCTAGGGAAACCGAGGGTAACTTCCGAAAATTCTATGGGCGAGTATTGCGTCTATTATGTTTTTCAATTAGGATTTTTAAACACTACAATTTGATAAGGGTCTGAAGTCGACCTGATGATGGAGCCGACAGACAGTCGAGGGAACTCCTCAGCGGTTTATATTAACTACCTTGTGTTTGGGCTTGATTGATTTGTATTGATGAGGACTTTACACCTAGATAGAGTGGGGCTGTCATTAAGGGTCTTATGATGAAGAAGTGTAATTGTTAAGGGAACTCCTCAACGGTATGCTGTAACTACCTTGTGTTTGGGCTTGTACAATTGCGTTTGGGCGTGACCCTGCACGTTCTTGCGGATTCACCGCTCCCGGCAGGCCTCGACCTACCGCTGTATTGTGGCAGGTCCCACCACGTAGCAGTCCTCAAAAGCTGCGATTTCCTTCCTCGAGTGGCGCGGGTGAAACACAATGCTAACGCCTACTTCCGCCCATACAGCGGAGTGCTAAGATCTATGTATCAACTTCTAACCAAGTCATTAATTTTGCGAGTTTTTCTAATTCTCTGTGTTTTGTTACAGATCGAGTTGAGCGATTTCTCAATGGTTGAATCAAAAATAGTTGCGCTCAAAATGAACAGTGGACTCAGGGAAATATTAAACGTTATAAGGGAACGATGATTTTTGTAGGGGTTTAGCATTGTAATTATTCTCCTTTTTTTGAGGAGTGAAAATCAGCCAATGACTTCTTCCGCCCGGGTGAGGCGAGAGGGAGTGTCAGACTCTTACTGACTAAAAACCACCCGGTTCCTAATTCTGGTCTGTACCATAATAGGAATGATGACGGGGTACAAAAAATAAAAATATAATTAGTCCGTTAGTTAGATAATGAACAAATATTCGACACGTATTTTTTTATTATGTCGTATAAGGTTACAATTTACTTAGACAAATCGAATTAAAGTTTAGGATTGGGAGATAAAACGTTATTTCTACGTACAAAACGTCTCTAGAAGTGACGTCACCCGATATTACAAATCAATATGTAGTCGAAAATAAAAGTACGTGTCTAATGTTTTAAAACTATCTACCAGAAGGACATTAAAATAAAAATTAGTCATCTACCCTATTAGGAACGCGGTAGGTCTAGTCTTGGTAGGTCTGTACCTAAACCTACTTCAATCTGGCAATTTTTTCATTGGTTTTTTTACTTTACATCATAGTGTTAAAGTTGGAAATAAAATAAAGGAATTTGCTGGCAACTGAAATAATGTTATTAAAAATGATTATATTTTCCTATGTAATCCAGAATTTTTAAAAGTTTGTGACGAAATAAAAATGTGAGTTGTTTTGAATTTGTTTATTTTTTCAATCCTCTATACTAAACTGTGAAGAAGGAAAATAATTTAGGTAGGTATAGCATCACAGTACATCTGAAGGAAAATACATCGCGTATAATGTGTCCCATGGTGCCAAACAAGATAATTTTAGGACAACATTCTACCTTCCACGCCTACGCTGACGCATGTGAATTTTTTTTATGGAATAGGAGGCAAACGAGCAGATGGATCACCTGATGGTAAGCGATCAGGGCCGCCCGCCGGCCTTTTAAAAAGGAATACGCACTTCTCTTGAAGGTTTGATGGAATTTGAATAGTTACATCCCAATGACGAAAACAGATCAAATTGATAAACAATAATTAACCTTAAAAATACAAAATATTCTATAAGATGGGTAATTGCCACAACGCAAGTAGATACTTTAAAATTATTGAGACTTAATCTAAGTTTTATTTTTCATTCGTTGATGACACTTGTAAACTAGTTTCAGCCATATGGCTTAAGTAATTGGCTTTGATTCATTCTTAAATAGGTGATCCAGATGTGCTTTAACTTGCTTAAAACTAGTTACAAGAAACAGTTCATATTACAATAGTAAACCGCTAATGAGTATAAAAAATGACTATCAAAATAAATAAGTAAAGGGTAATTAGTACAAAAATCTACACCACCTGCTTCTCTAAAGTATTTATAGTATGGATCCGAATACCGTCGGCTCCGTCTGTTTTTCTAACAAAAACTTTGCCACCTTTGACCCAAACATATTTGTAACCTTTTTCGTTGGCCCTCTTCTTAGTTGCAGCATGAAGGGCTTTAATCGTGGGAGTTAAATACTCATTGACAAAGATGAGAGATTTATATCCAGATAATCCTAAAAGTTGGCTGTTTAATTTATTCTTCGGATTTGCTTTATTATACTTAATTATCGCATTTAGCAGTCCATCTCGCATTATTTCTGTCCGCATCTCCAGGATTATAGGACGGGGACGGTAACTAGTGCGGTCCACGTTACCTTCGCGTGTGCAACTCGTTATGTCATCTTCTTGAATATCGAAACCCACGACACTTCCTATCTTTATAACAATGTCTATAACATTATCTCTCTTCTCTTCAGGCACACATAGTATTTCTAGATAACTCGAAAAAGCATATTGCTCAAGTCTGTTAAGTCGTCCTGCAATCTTATCGATACAGTTCATTAAATCTTCTTGTTCCTGTTTAAAATCATTTAAAAATCTCTTTTTTTCTTCTCTTAATTCCAATAGCTTTGCCATAGGGTTTATTTCACTATTAGTTGTTCCTGCCATATTGTAGCTGTATATACTGGTATTGCTGGTATTCCCAGGTGCACAGGCGATCGTCCCGTGTAAGTTCTCGTGTCCACAGAGCGATTAAGGTTTATTTTTATTGTATGATTGTATAATATTTTATGTGAATGTGACATTCTGTGAACTACCTTCTAACTTTACCTTAATATCGAGTCTAGACTAAACTACCCACTCCCCAGTATACTGTTCGTTTTACTATTTTTTCCCAGTAGATACTTAAATTTGAATATCCATCAAAGTGTTGCAGTAGCAATTGCAATCCATATCAATACGGCTTGATTGTTTGCATAAATCAATGCGGATTGCGGATGCGGATTAATATTATTGCAGTAATGCCAGTGGTCACGTGACCATGTCGTTTTCCTCTTCATATTATGAAGAAGATAACGACAAAGCTTATTAAGCTTTGCATGTCACACGATGTATGCTAAAATTTTATTTTGTTTTAATAAATATCTATTGAAACATTTGTTTCCTATAATATTTTTTATTTTTTTCAATAACTTTATCTAGTAAAGATGTTACTTGTTTCTTTTTCTCAGAACTTGAAATGTCATTTGTTGATTGTATCCGAACGTTGTACTGGTTGACAGCTTAGCTTTTAATGATAGAGATGTGCTAATTTGGTAATGTAAGTGTATATATCGATAAAAATAGCTTTAAACGAACAATAAAATCGAATTTTATTCGAATCAAGTCCCAGTTTTTAAATATTGCTAGACACTATTAAACATTTAAAACCTAAAATTCTCCAATCATAATTACAGTTTCTTAGTTCAGCCTTAAAAAATTAACTTTTTATTCCGTTAGAGCGTACCCACCCAAAATTATTTCCGTCTTTATCTCTTTTTCTTTGGAAAAACGTAACTTGCAGCAGAACTAATATTAACTTGGACTGAATCACCCATTTCGGATTATATCTTATGAATAAACGATCATCCGAACATAGTAACTCCCCTTCATAAACACGATACATAAAAATAACAAATATCAAAACCGACCGAGTCGTAGTGTACCAGGATGCCGCAGGTACGATAATAGCGACCTCATATCAGTCGAAACTCTTTTTTATCAAGGCATACTTACAATACTTACATCAAACTTAGCAAATTTCAGCTTCCTAGGTTGTATGTTATTTATTTAACAGTCAGTCGATTCCCTTAGTAGATAAAAATAAAAAGTTTTTTAACATAGAATTGTTATTATTAGTTAACAATCACACGAAATTGACATAATGACAGTTACAATTATTTTTATCGATATCGACCAAAATTGAAATGTGGGATAAACACATCACTTTAAATGTTAAACGGTTTTATTGGAAACTATTTTTGTACTGCGCTCTAGCGTAACGTGTTATTTAGCTAATGAAAAACAAACATTTGACCGTTAACGCTCGCGCGTGGTGTTATTCATTTACAATTTAATAATTACTAATACCTATATTTCTTTAGTATCGTTTACATATAACTAACGACACAATGGATTTGGATAGATCTGGAATGAGTGCGGATGGTAAATCAGTTTATAATTATAACACTGCGTTGGTACGAGTTTAAAGGTAATATCTGTGAGAAATATTGACTAATTATAGTTCCTTTTCCAGAGTATTACGTGACGGCGCTACAAATATTTCATTATTGTGGCGCTGAAAGTACGAGCACGCTTCGTGTTGACAGTTTGATGGACAAATTCGCACCTTTCGTAAAAACTAACAAGTAAGTTTTATTGTTATTGTTTGCAGCGTGAACTGATTTTGTTTATGCGATGAAAGGTCAACTGTTTGCGTCTGAAAATAGCTCTGTGTGTGAGCTTACTTCCTACAATACCCTATGTATTGGAACATAAACGCTACAGCGTAATTTAGAGTTTTGTAGGTGATATAAATTTGTTATAATATACCTATGCACTACATCTAGCTCCCTAAATACAACTAGGTACCAATAAATCTTAAATTAAGTGAGAATCCTAACTTTTCATTAATTTGATACCATTAACCACATTTCAACTGGAGGCCATGTATGTTTATCTCATTAATATTAATATATTGATAGATGAATGCTTGCAGCTCTTCAGGAATGATAAAAGATCTCTTATAGACATCTCTCAAAACTTAACCTTACTGCCTAAATATAGATATAAATACTTATAATTTTATTTATTTGCAGGGCTGAATTTAGCTTTTTGAAATCTTTTATGGATCCTGATGATGAGAATCCAGAAATTGATGTATCAATGTTAGCTAAAACCCTACACAAGTACACTGAGAACCAGAAGTCTAAAGCTGATATGGATGAAAGGTAAGAAACAACTAAATTTCTTCCTATCCTTATCTCTACACCTACTTACCGCAACTGTTCAGTTATGAATCCTATGTCCACTAGTACCTTTTACACTTCGGGTGCACCACCATTATTGAGACATACTAAATTAATAATTATAAATTTACCGATTTACTCACATAACTGTTTGTCAAGGGGCACAACTAGTCCAAGCCATGCTATCGGCTCATATAATTATCTTCAAACCTAATAAGACTTATTTTGGTGGCTGGCAGCCACTTAACCATGCAATCCACAATGGACACAAAGCAATAATTACATGCATGTGTTAACATCACATTTATAAAGTACATATAATGATAAAAATAATAGAGCCCTTTATTCTGAACTAGCTTCTACCCGCAACTTCGTATGCGCAATCCCATTTTCTCCTGTAGTAGTTTTGGGATTTTTTCTATCTTAACCCATATGTGTTATGGGGATATCCCCAAGCGGTCACCGGTGCCTGCTCTCCACTAACTACATTATGGACTTTATTTCCAATGCTTAGAGACTACTTATGTACGAACTAATTTAGGTGATGATTTTCAACAGTTTAAGAACCTTTTCCTAATAATAACAAATACAACAAAAAAAAAAAAGAAATTAACCAAATCAGTCAAGCCATTTTCATGCTATGTTGTGACAACGGAAAACGGGTTTCATTTGTATATAATAATATATAGGTTAACAATTACAGAGGTAAATAAAATAAAACAAATGAACTATTATGATTACAAAACATATAATTTTATTCTGTGTGTCTTGGCATAAGCCTCCTCTAATTTGCACTGAGTTTGATCTCTTTCCACCCTACTTCAGTGATGGTCAACTGTCAATTTTATGTAGAATGATAAATGCCTATAATTACACTAGCATGCATACTTTACCTCCTTTTATCAATAACTTTTCCTTTTAACATTACAACAGTGAAATAAAATAGAATATGTGGAGTGTTTGATAACACTTACTGTAATAATATACTAGAAGCATGTGCGAAGTGTTGCAATGTTTGTTTTGCTAAAATTATCAAATAGGTCACATCTGTTAGTCTGTTATAGAGATTAAGATAAGATTCTTGATATTTCGGCTATGTAAACACACCATGTATCATACAAACATCACTGCATCAGTGACCCATTGTATTTTGTGCAAATTTTTTTAAGCAGTTATAAAATGCCTCTTTTTTATATATTGACTGCCTTGTTGGCTAAGTGGTCGAAAGTGCGACTGCTGGGCAAGATGTCTCGGGTTCCATTCCCAGGTCGGGCAAAGTATTACTGGGTTTTAAAAAAAACTCAGGTGTAGCACGGAGTCTGAAATTGTGCTCGGTATACAGCAATAGGCTTACTTCCTATTACATGGGACTCATAACATAAATAGTGAAAAGTGGGTGTTACATTGTACAATGCCATAATGTTTGTAAAATGTTAGGGTGGTATACTCAGTAAAAGTTAAGAAGTATTTCTAATAGCAACTAGTTCAAAACTATCAAGCTTGAACCCTAAAATAACTTAGTTAGCTAGATTTTGGCAGAATGGTTGACACCAATGGCTGGGCTACTGACTCTTCCACTTTGTGCCATTTCAAAGATATAGGAGAAAATTCTGTGAAGGTGTAAATATTTTTTTTTTTTTTTAAAAGATGGCATTCATATGTGAAACCATCTGTTACAATTTCAGTTTTCAATAATAAATGTTTTGTTACAGTTTCAACCTAAAGAGCGGTGCTCCACAGGATTCTGATTCGGGCATATCTACAGATGGTAAGTCACATTACATTTTAGTCTTAAATACTCCACATTCCAGAGGTTCATTACAACTTACTAATTACTTGTGCAACTACATACTAATGAACCTTTAATACCTAATTTGGAAATAATGTAATAACTGTTCACATTGTTAGGGACACAGTACCATAGTTCATAGTATATCTTCAAGAAGTCGACGGCAACAATTGCTGAAAATATCATAGCGTAAGAGCTAGTAAACCAAATGATCATTGCAAATAGTATTAAAAAAGATGATGACACACCCGACATTCTTGAGAGAACGTTTCTGTCTTAATTGGTTGTTAATGAAATCCTATTTAATCATGACAGATGCTAGCGGAGGATTAGCCTTTAACAGCTTTTGTCGACAGTTAGAGTTATAGACAGTTTTGTCTAGTTGACCAAGTAAAATAAATGGTCCGCTGGCTCTTCTACTATTATAAAAATCTATTTAATTATTGAGATTATCGCATTCATGACTGCCTCGTTGGCCGAGTGGTCGCAAGTGCGACTGCCGGGTAAGGGGTTTCAGGTACGATTCCCGGGTCGGGCAAAATACTACTGGGTTTAAAAAAAAACTCAGTGGTAGCACGGAGTCAGGAATTGTGCCCGGTATATGGCAATAGGCTCACCCCCTATTACATGGGACTCATAATATAAATAGTGAAAAGTGGGTGTTACATTGAACAGTGGCATTAAGCGCCGTAATGTGCACCTCTTCCTATCCCCGTCGCGGAGAACCTAACGGGTTACCGGGGCTCCGGCTTAATGTGCAAGTGAAGGAACGGGGTGGTTTTTAGTCAGTAAAAGTCTGACACTCCCTCCCGCCTCAACCAGGTGGGAGCAGTCATTCGATGATTTCCCACCCTTAAAAAAAAATTAAAGATGTGATGTTATGTATGTATCGCATTGAAACAGACCAACGCGCTGACCATGTAACAAATTAACAATATTGTTATATACGATATTTTAATGTTTAGAATACGAATTATGGTAATAGAATCATCCTAATCAAATATTCCTGACAGGTCCCTTGAACATGTTTATAGCCTTCGTAAAGGCATTAACACATATTATCACGTTCGCTCACGATTTATTCGTTACTACTCGATACGTAACTAGGAAATGCCCGTTGACAATAAAATTATGACGACTTTATTTCGTAGTGTTAAGTGATATTTTCGTACATCACAAGTTTATGATGGAGAAAAGCTTTCGAATTCTTATTGTCGTCGGTTTTGTTAGTATGTTCTATGTATTGTGACATTGTAGAGTTAAAACAATATTTTTGTTGTGATTGTGAACTAATTACTCTATTTACTATAGATAGGAGTTTCTCTAGTCGATTTCTTCATTTTGGTATGTATGACCACATGTAATTTTATATCTTTGTGGTTTATATTTTCTGAATTACACATAGGTAAGATTCATTAGAATTGTTTATTAGTGACGTCTAGAAAAATACGATTAATTTATTACTCATATTTGTTGTACTCAATTTGTTATGTTATTAATTAATAATAATTAATACAAGGAAGTTTTATGAGTAAATGTGTTGTTTAAGTACTTTTGATATGATGGCTTGAAATGGATGTGTTTGTGGCAGACTATTTGATAAGTAATGTGGGAAGGGGCAGCGAACTTCAGCGAAGCGCTGCCTCCTCACAACCCAGCCATCGCGAAGGACACTCCGGGCGTCGGGGATCGCGGGACGATCTCCGGCCACCGTGAGCGCGGGCCTGCGGACGGCGAGCATGGGTGGCTCACCATCCGATCAGAACCAGACCTGAGCGTACGGCGCATCACGGTCCGCGCGCTCCTCAAAGAACTATCAGACCACCACGGATGGGGCCCAATAGGGCTGATGCCGATGCGTAGCCGCGGGTGACTTAACGAGTTGCCGGGGCTCCGGCTCGGAGGGCAGGAGTAGGAACGGGGTAGTTTTTAGTCAGTAAGAGTCTGACACTCCCTTCCGCCTTACCCAGGCGGGAGAAGTCATTCGATGATTTTCCCCCTTAAAAAAATGGGATATTAGTGGTGTATATCCATACCTATACTCCGTCTGTTTAGGTAGTTAACTATTTGTAAACAAACCATAAAAAGAGTTCTTTATAGTTGACATTTCCATGATTCAAAATACTTCATAAGAAAATAAAATTGTTTCCCTTTTTACGACAGTTTTCTCTGTTAAATGTTATGTTTCTGTTCCTTTTCACTTATTTCTTAATAAATATTAAATATATCTGCTTGAGGATATTAATTTAATAACATTTATTAAATAATATAATATTTCATTACAATAGACACCATAAAGAGCCTAAAATCCCAGGTATCCAAAACGTTTCTTTAAGAACGAAGCAAAATAATATTGTCAAATTAAAGAGTACAACTAAGATGTAGCGCGACAATGAAAGTAGCGTGTATTACGTTTAGTCGGTTAATCAGGCGCCATTGACAGCTCTCTCGTCGTTTGCGCTCGCGTTCCTATTTTGTTGAATTTAACTTGTTTCTTTGTTTTGTTTTTGTTATTAAGTTATTTAAGTTTAGGTTATTCATCGTTTGTAATTAATGTGTTCAAATATATTGAAGAAACTTGGCCCAAAGACAGATATCCGTACAAGAAAGAAATCCGTACATCATGTTCAGAATAGTTTCTATTTAAATATGATAATGAAATAGACCCATAGGCTAGGCTCTTGTACGATTTAGGCATTTGTACTTGTATGTGTGTGTATGACAAATGAACGATTTTAAAGTGAATTTAGTTAAAATTAAAACACGAGAAATATTTGAAGTAATAGTAGGTTAAGTATCTCTGTGTCACGTGGTTTTCTTTGTTTACCTTTAGTTAATTACCTAAACAGATGGACTATAAGTCGAATATCTTTGTAAATAATATTAGCAGACTTTATTATAAGATTAAGTAGTAAGGGCCTAAGATACTCTTTAAATTTAAATCTAATTCTTAATCAAATCAACACCTCTTCTCTTGTTCAGGATCTCAATTGCTGGAGGACCTGCAGTGTGAGCTCCGTGAAAAGGCTCACCTGGCCCACCAGCTGCGGTCACAGCTGGACTTCACGGACAGACAACACGAGGAGGCCCTCGCAGCACTCACTGCTGAACGGGATGCGCTGAGGACTCATCTTAATATGTAAGTCTAAGATTTATTTATTTATTTGAATTTGAATAACCACTATATTATTATTATATACCAGCTACTTCCGCGCGGTTTCACACGCTCTGCTCAGCTCCTATTGGGCGTAGCGTGATTTTTATAGCCTATAGCCATCCTTTAGAAAAGCACTATCCTACACAAAAATAATTATTCTTCCGCTTTATATAATAAGTATAAGATTAGAAGAAAGAAGAAGAAAGAAGCTAAGTTGTTTTACTAAAATATCGAAAAAACTAATGTACATTGGTTAAATCTCAAAACTGTTGGCATTTTGGTTTTCATTTTATATCTTGCTAGAATATTTATTTTGTTTATTTACATCGTTAATAAATCAACTTTTCCTGTCATAAGTATGAAGGTAGAAATTCCAACAGGAATATGCATTACCTATCTTTATTTTTAAAATACGTTATCCTTTGTGCTGCGCGTGTGTACATGTATAAATAAATAAATCAAATTAAAAATCTAGTACTTATTATATGTATTACGATTAGGTTGCGCGAAGAGAACGCGTCGCTGTCTCAAGCTCGGCAGGACTATGAGGAAGCGAGCGAGCGGCTGTGTACCAGCGAGCGTTCGCTGGAGGAGACTCGCCGGGAACTGGACGCCGTCAAACGCCGCTCCAAGGTCATGCTCGAACAACTCAACACACTCGAGAATGAGGTCAGATAAACCACTTACCACTTTCAATATTATTTAAGTAGCCCCATTACACTGAGATAACCATGCAAACCTTTCCATTTTGCAAATACATTTTCCTTGCCGGAATCTGTGTTTCACGAAAAATAAGTCCCGAGTGAGCAGGTTGCTCATTGGTAGGCGTGCTCTGTCATCGGCCATATCATCGCTTACCACCAGGCGAGATGGACCAAACGTCGACCTATCAAGTATAAAAAAAATGGGTATTGCACTGTGTAAAATTTGATTCCCTTTAGTCCTTTCCAATTTTTAGTATGACCGGAGAAACGCCACAGCGTAAACACTTTGTGGTTGTTATTTGTTTAAAGCTTCAAGTGAGCGTCTTCAAGTCCCGATTCAATAGGTTATATAATTATCATGTTCTTCTATTCACAAATAAAGTTGACAAAACCAAAGAGGTTTTATCGAACCATTAGGCTTTCTATATTGTATAGACAAGAGGCCTACTTCAAGTAAACGTATCTTTATATATATATAATTCTTCTGTGAGTGTGTATGTCACTGAACTTCTCTCAAACGACTGGACCGATTTTGATGAATTTTTTTGTGTGTGTTCAAGGGGATCTGGGAATGGTTTAGATTCACAAATCAGCCCGGCAGATGGCGCTGCAGTCGATGTTTAGGTTATTTATCCTAAACAGCTGAACTAATTTGAATGAATTTTTGTTTATACATTCAAGTGGATATGCAGGACAACGTCTGTTGGGTCCGCTAGTTTATTTATGAATGAAATACAATTACAGAAACTAACCCTACAAGAGCTGCTAACAAAGTCGAAGGCGGAGTGTCACCGTATAAACGAGATGTACGCGGCGCGCCAGTCCGCGCTGCTGGAACAGAACGAGACGCTGCGCTCCGAGCACGCAGACCTCGCCGCCAGGCTGCAGGACCAGGACGAGTTCGTGCAGCAAATGATTAAGGAGAAGGTAACTTTTGTAACGTAATATGTAGCTACCTATATTTATTTATTGGAAAACCAACAGCTACACATGAAAGAAATAGTGGCAAAATAACATCAGAAACCCAATTATAGATATATGCACGAATAGATATTACCATACCAGAATTTCACGCCTTTATCCCCGGAGAGGTAGGCAGAGGTGCACATTACGGCACTTAATGAATACAACCATACTACACCTAAGTTATAAGTCAATTCTGTTTAAAAATTAGCCATATTTGGGTCATTCAAGATAACTAACAACTTAACTTTTATATATAAAACACAGTCATGTATGTCATAAAATATAAATCCATAAATAGATCCACTGTTTTTCCTAAATATCTTACTATATAGCTTGACTTGGAGCTACTACTCTCCATTCCTAAACTTTGTCTTCATCTAACATGCTATCATAAGAAACAAAAGCTTATATAAACTGTATCTTCCCAGGTCCTACTAGAAATGGAGTTAAAAGATGTCCTGAACAAGTCGAATCAGACCCAACTACGTTTGGACCGCAGCATCGACATCAGTTACACGGAGGAGCAAATGTTAACCGCACTAGACAGTCTTAATGCTGACACTAGGTTCTCATCAGGTTAGTTGCTTTCGCATCAAAATAAATTATTTACTGAAACTGGCCTTTTATCATCATCATTGCAGCTAAAACATGTTATGTGCTGCCTCTGACATTAGATTTGACCCTAAGTTACTACTATCATAATTCCTATACTTTAAGCTATGTTTAATTGAAAGTACTTTTTATCGTACATCACAATTTTTGTATAACCATGTGAAATTTTGATTTTGCGCAACCGTTGCGCAACACAGGACAAATGTTATGATTTTTTGCGCAACTTTCAAGTCAATATAATATTTCACATTGACTTTGTTTATAGTCAGCTTGGTTCCACTGTCTCTTTCTAACATAATCATTATGCTTTCAATCTAACTCGTAGAAAACCGTATCCTTGACGAAGAATCATTCATAAACGCGTTAAAAGAAGACCAAGGACGATGCACGAACATGTCGTTATTTGACGAAATACGTTACAGCTTCTGTAACATGTCCAAACACAACAACACAGGCTCCAACAGTATTTCATACGATAAAAACTTCGATTTTAACATGACTATTGGAACCCAAACAGACGAAACTAAACCTTATGACTGTGCAGACAAAGTTGAATCAACTGGAATGGGTACGCAGACTGAAGAAGTAGTTTCAAATAATAATAATAATAATGTACAAATACAATGTCTTGAATGTGTAAAAATGAGTCGTTATACGGAGAAGTTGGAATTGGATGTAAATAGGTCACACAGTGCTCTGTCAGAGATGCAAGTAGAAATAGAGAACTATGAAGGTAATTTGGACATGCTTGAGCAGTTTGTTAAGGAAGGCAATGAGAGGAATAATGTATTGCAAGCTATTATAAAGAGCTTGGAGATGAAGATCAGTTTGTTGGAGGTGGCGTGTGATAAGCAAAGAGATCGCTTGGCCAGTCTATCGCCAGATTGTTGCGTCCATACACAAACCCAGTCGGGTACGCTTTGCTATTGGTATTTGTGTCACAGATTACATACTATACAGGATGGTTTTAAAAGAACTGGCAACATTTAGTGATAGTTCTCATGGTTATAGAAAGTTTACTGCGAAATTTGTGGTATTTATAAAATTTACACTGGTTTGTATGTTACAAATAGGTATCTTTCTAAACTGTTGAAATAATAGGGTAGATGCCTAATTTTTATTTTAATATCCGCCTGGTAGATTATTTTAAAACACTAGAAACATATTTTTATTTTCTTACAGAAACAAATAGTTTCGACAATATATTGATTTCAAATGTCACGTTACGTCACTTCTATGTATATTTTATACGTAGAAATGACGTTTTAGCCCCCACTCCTAAACTTTGATTCGTTTTATCTAGGTACTATTTTAGTATACAACTAAATAAAAAAATACGGGTCTAATATTTTTTCGTTACCTAACTTACAAACTAAATAGATTTTAATTTTCGTACCCCGTCATTATCCCAATTCTGACGAGCTGATACCGGGGTAAATTAGATTCGCAATTGGCTTGATGATAACTGTAATATAACATGTATCATTTGAAACTAAATTAATAAATCTATACTCATGAGTGCTTTCACTTTAGAAAATAACAAGGTGTTTTTAAAACAATCCTGTATTATCATTTTTTCTTCACGTATTCATTCACCATGACATTAGTTTCGATATTCATATCATTGTAAATATTGTTGTGTAATCTGTGGTAGCTAAGTGTTTTGTGGCGTCCTCTGGTGGCGGTTGGTGTTATTTAATTTTAATAACTTTGTGTTTTTGGGTAAAAAACATTATTTTAATAGTACCTATGTGACTATGTAAGTAGTTAGTTTTTATTAAGATAGAATAGAATAGTATCACTTAAAATGTAGGGAAGATAAAAAAATCGTTGTCAGTAATATAATAATTGTTTGAAGTATAAAACTATTTATTTTTTGTTATTATGATATAATATGTATTTGTTCGTGATTAATGGTATACTAAATTAGATTTATTGGTAGTAATAAGGCGTACATGTTATTACTTTTCATTTAGTATATAGATTAGTTTACATTTAGTAGTTAATTAGTTAGATGTATTTGTAGTACTTCAGTTTTACCAAATAATATTATAATTCAATAATATTTTCAGACACGGAGTCGGTGGCTACACAAGTGGACGTGCCTTGTATTGAGTGTGAGAAACGGAACGCTGTCGTACCACATCGCAGTCTTAGGAAATTCTTTTGGTGCGTATTTTTCTTTTTTGTATATTTATCGTGGAAATAATTAGCGCTTATTATCTACCAGTTATGACATGTTTCCAACATTCTTTTTTTCTAACCTTTTCTCAATGCACTTAAATAACGGACTGCACGGTTGGCGCGGTGGCTGGGCAACTGTCTGCCACGCAACGTGTAGCGGGTTCGATTACCGCACGGACCTGGGTGCTTACTCTTGAATCCAATTCCGATCGATCGACATTGACATTGTGAAATTTCGTACTCTTGAGTTGTAACACTAGCACCTTTTGCATTCGTATTGCGTGGATATTTCATGAACTAAATGGTATTGAGTTTGGTTTTATATTCCGTACTCTAAATGCTACTTTTGCAGCTACGATAGGGGTTGTATAGTTTTGACATTAGATAATTATTGAGATTTTATTGGATTGAACTTGCATTGACATTGAGATTGGTTTCAAGAGTAAGCACCCAGCTCTTTGTGTCATCCACAAATTGTTGTTTCGTTTTGTTATCGCTTGTATGTTTGTAATTAACGACAGTATTCTATGAATTTTTTATGAGATTGTGTATTGTGTCGTCACGTTTTTTAAGCAACAAAGAGCATACTTTATTCTTAAAAATTTGCTGGAATAGTACTAAAATTAAGTTAGTCATAAAATCAATCATTTTTTAATATTATATTGTAGTGAACAGTCGAAATAATAATTTATATTTGATTAAGGCACATACCCAATTAAACCAACCTTCCTTAAAAAGTTAAAACCAGTACCTGAGCTAGTATCCTCGTCAATGGTGCTGACAGGCCCCTCATATTCCACAGTGTATGATTGCAGGGAGTCCCTGAAGTGCCTGTTCCAGTTGTTCGCGGTGGTGTGCTTCGTGTGCGCGGTGTGGGCACTGTCGGGCGTGTCGCGCGGTCCGCCCGCCTGCCCGCGCCGCGCGCTGCCCTGGCGCTGGCTGCAGCCGCAGGACATCATGGACCTACTGCTCAGGATAGAATACGTCGCTGATGTACCCATGTGAGTCTACCACTGAGCTGGAACTTTATATCTGAATAGGGTAGATGACCAATTTTTATTTCAATGTCCGCCTGATAGATTATTGTAAACCGTTAGACACGTATTTTTTATTTTCTTACGGAAACAAATACTTTCGACAATAATAAAATATCGCGTGACGTCACTTCTAGGAACGTTTTATACATAGAAATGACGTTTTAGCTCCTGGTGGACTGGTTTAGAGTAGGAACTCTTAAACTATGATTGGTTTTAACTAAGTATTGTTTCCTTATACGACAAAAAATACGTGTCTAATATTTTTTAAATACCTAACTGACGGACTAAATATTGTACCCCTATTATATTGAGTTGTGTTTTAACACCCTGTTGGTGTATGGGGTTTAACGTTAATTTTTCTTGATTTACGGGGACGTAATCAAACCCACAAGGATTTATTATGCTTTCATAAGATTATATACGATGCATATTACGAATGAGATCAATCCAAAAAGAACACAGTGGCGCGATTGAATTACTGAATAATATCATCCTTGAATATGTTCTTGAATACTTACTACTCTCACTACTCCTTTGGCTAACTTTAAAAGATTTAATACTCTGTAAATATAATTCTTCTCCCTGCGAGAAGAGGCTTTTGCTCAGCAGTAGGCACTTTATAAACTGCTGATCATGATGAAAAAAATCGTCCGGTTTTGCCACTGTTAATAGAATATGATTGAATGTCAACCAAATCGAATAAATAAATAAGAGAATTAGCGTTAATCCTCGTATATCTACTTAGTGTAGGAATTTGGTAGCTATGTCAAATTTTATTGGATAGAAACAGTTTTAATTTTATTACCGTTACGTAGGATAAATTGACAGAAAACAAATTAAATATTTTGAAATCAAATTGCAGATTTAATGTCGATTTAAAATATTTTTTAATCAATTTCACCTGTGTTTGTTGTACTTGGAAAATAAAATACATTATATCCTACGACTTACTAATTTATAATCAATCAAATTGTTTTAGAATAGTAAAGAATTTGTGTATACGTAAAATTTATTGAATATTAGAGCAATACATATAATTACCGTAGATAGTTAAAGAAATTGCTAGACAGTCGAAACTTTTTATAAATGGCCAGTTGATTCAAACTTAATTACTAGTTTTTGAATGTTTTTTTTTAAATTGTCGACAAAACTCGATGGAAGGCTGATACGAAATATAATTTTAAATAAAAACTCATTAGTGTAAAACATTGCATTTAATATTTAAAAGTAAATGTAATTTAAGTTTTTTTTTCTTCTAACTAAGTTGTTTGCCAAATATTAACATAATTATTGTAATCTACATTTATTTAGATTATAAATAATATAGTACTTGTAACTTTAGTTGACATGTAACTGTAATTTGTGCCTTATTGCAATATACTTACGGTGCTTGTTTTTAATTCTGACAGCCCTTAATAATGTAGGTATCGAGTGATATAATTCTACTTAATTATTTATAGAACAGTATTTTGGCTAAAATACAAGTTTTCTGATTGATTTTCTTTTTAATATTCTGTTTACCTGAATATCATTACCTTTTAATAAGAACTTGGTTCGTATTTTATAGACACATACATAAACAGTAGAAATAAAACGATTCCCTGAGAAGTGTTCAGTCAACTTCAGTTTGTATATGAATTTATGTAACAATATCATATGCTGGGGGCTTAGCGTGAGATAGTTTTACGTTTCCAGATCAAAACGTTACGAAAGCGCGTTTGGTGCTCTGATTGGCTAGCTCCAATGAACCAACCAATCAGAAGGCTAAACGCACTAACGTTTCAATCTCGTAAAACAAACTCGTACTAGGCCCTATGATGTCCTCTAAAAATGTTTAAAAGAGTACATCTTTAACGTTATGCCGCATTTGCACAGTCATGTTCGCCTTTCGCCTCCCAATTCGATGAAACAACCGCTTGCTAGTCGCGAACTATACTATTCACACATTCGCGGGGTGACTTATATTGAATTTAATTCGTGCCTTTTAAACTGCACCTAAAGCGAACGCATGAATCGCGATTCTCACGAATTTGCGAATGTGGCATTACAAATGCAATTGTAATTGTAGAAAATTACTCTGATTGCCTCTTCTATGTTAAGTTGTGGTAACGCTGTATACGTGTAATAATTTGTATTTAAAAACACTATGTTGTCCTACTCTTAATTTAGATACCTATCATTGACATGTTTACAGTATATTCTATTTGTTTTCGGAGTTATTTAAAGCTATAGGGTACTGTTACACACGCTAATTGCAAGTTCGAAACCATGCTTCAATTGAGCACTTGTTACTTAGAAGCTTGTGTGTCGAAGTGTTGCTTAAAATTGGTATGCTCATTTTCGATGTGGCTCCCGATGTTTGAATAGTCGTCGAGCGTCCGCGTTCCTTATGATCCAACGGGTGCACACGTGACATTTGGAGAAAGAAAGAAAGGAAATGCATTTATTTGGCCATCGGTACACGAAAACAAGGATCATTACAATAGAAATAAAAAATACAGTCAAATAAAAACAAAACCTTAATAATAGATTTTATATAAGAGAAAGCAGCATGGAGCATTTTTTTCTTATGATCCACCGGGTGCTCATAAGGACGCTCGAGGAGTTACATAAAAATAAATAAGGTCTATTGTGGAGTTAGTAGAGAACGGTTACCCGTGACCGCTTGGGGATTTGGAACCTGTGTAACAGTACCTTCAATCCAGCAAAACTCTCGCCTATTCTCAATTTAAATATAAATTCGTTTTAATGCATGTTACAAAACAATTCTGTGATATCGCAGTGCCAGTTAGATGTAGATTTTTAGCAAGTATACATAAAACCTAAGACTATTTGGTATAATCTAATTTTGGTATAAGTTTTAAAAGTAATGACATTTTGAGATTAACAAAAAATTATTTACCAAAAAATTTATTTTTTAAATTTGCGTTTGCATTGTTTTTGAATGTACAACTGCATTAATTTTAGTGCTAGATTTTAGTTTTATTGGCCTTTTATTGATAAATATGAAGATAATGGTTAATTTAATATAAATTTTACAAGTCCATACAAATTCTTAGATTTCATAACAAAAATAGGTACAAATCTTCATTGCAAATATACTCTTTTAAAGTCAAGATCCTTATCCGTAATATCCGAACTTTATTTCATCTTTGATAGAACTTTTTCTATTTATCGATAAAAGGCCTCCCTATTTAACCTTAGCTTACCAATTATAGTATTTTTATAGAATATTAAAGTATTCTCTAAATTTTTCATTATTTTTAACTAATTACGCATTTACGATGCATTTATTTTTAGTAGATCTGTTTTTACTATAGTATTCCAACTTTTCTTCGATTCAGATGTGTATGTCAAGGAGAGAAGTTGGATATTGTGCATTTATTGTTTAGTTAAGTTTGTAAAGTGCATTAACGTACTAAAATATTATATGTATGTTTAGAATGTATGATTTTTTATTTATGGATACTTATTCATAAGTTGTGATCGTAGTTTTCCGTCACTAAACGCATTTCCTGTTACCTTGCGAGTCGGAAAGATTTGTCGATGTCGATAACTTAAGTTTATCGACACATGCTCATCTCTAGTTGATGGTATATGACAACAACTTGTGTTTTCTATGTTATTTTTGTTTAAATGTATCAATTTTAGTCGCGTATCGTTCTGTATAGTAATAAACGAGATCTTCCTTTATTTTTTTGTTTTATTTACACGAGTATTATATCACTACCATACATAGCAAAGGTTGATTAGTAGAGTATGTCTTATTATGGCTACATGAAAATTTTATAACAATGATATTATTTCATCAAATAGCAGGCGATTTACATGTTACCAGGTATACAGTGCCTTTAGGTAAACGCCATTTTAGCGCTTGTCTACAGACAGTAGAAATCAAAATGTATGGGGATGACACTGACAATTGTGTCAAAATTTACGTCTATTCCATATAATTTGGTTTTCTACTCTACAAGTAGACAAGCGCTAAATGGCATTTGGCTAAAACTGCTGGTTTTTCTATTTTTAAAATTATCAGAAATAGTAAGGTTCCCTTCATTTATTTATTTTTTTATTTATTTACACTTCTGTATGACATACGACGGCGGACTTAATGCCGGGTGGCATTCTTTAACAGTCAACCATGGGGTGATGCCGAGATGAGCAACAGAAGGTGTAACAGGTATTGAAATTTAATTCACACATATTTTTCCTGATACGTTAGATATCCTCAAGGAATTTCAGGACGTCGGCAGTCGAACTCGTACCGGCTAAAAGCACTGCGGCATTTGTTCTTGTTGTTCTTGGCATGCAACATCACTTAACATCAGCCTTGAGCAGTTGATTACAATTATTATTACATAAAAGAATTTAATTCCTTAGTTTTATGAATGTACAATTTGTTCTTTACCATCACCCGTCGCCCGTCGGCAGTTTTCGGGAGCCTTCCCTTTACTTCACTCCCTCTATACTTATGTTTTCATATTTTATTAGTATTATTTATATAAAACAATCAATCCTAAAAATGCAACGCTAGAAGTTTCATTTGTACATAGATACTGTGAGAATTAACCTGGGTACATACTTTATAGATCCCTACTATAACTTCATTCACCCTACAATAAGAACAACGAGATCTAAATACCTATATTAAGTATGACTCCCACAATCTGGCCAGTATCGGTTTACAAAGGAACCGGTAATCTTGCCTTTGTACCGCTAACAAAAGCCCCGCTGTCAAGGTGCGACTACACAAAAGATGTATTGGCCCTTAACTGAGAAATGCGTCCGCGAAAACTTCCCACAAGATCGCAGTTTTTGCAAAAGGGTCACTTCGGTGGCGAGATATATTATAATGTGTCTGTCTTTCCCCAAGTTTTTGTGTTCGTCCCGAGATCCGTATCTCAATAATTAATTTTGTAACATCGGTGTGAACGACACTCGAGATTTTTGAAGATTTATGTTTGTTTT